TGGGATACCTAATATATGCTTATGAAGTAGACACTAACATTCACTTATATTTAAAGGATAATAGCTTGTTTTTCACTACAGTTGGATGTTAATCTTCCTCACACAAAGACTATCAGTGTGTCACTTTGTACTGAGCCAGTGAGTCATGAATATTATCAAATAATAGCTGTATTCTCTTTTCCCCTACACAAGGCCCAATTTCTTTATGAGGCTCTTTCTTTCCTGCTACTTCAGATAAAATCTTCTATAAAGAATGATAAAAAGCTTTCAGGGCATTTTAGTAGCAAACAAAACTTCATGTCAGTAATTAGTATGTCTACTCCAGGACACTAACCACAAACCCTGAGCACTGTTAGGCAGTGCCTCTCCCCACTTTCCTCTATGGCTGCAGTGAAGAAGGGGAAGAGGATGGCTAGAATTCTCTTCTCCTGTTCCCCTCAGTGGCTGGCTCTGCCTTCCTCAGAATCACAGGGGACAGAGAAGAGGAGGATGAACAGACAGGGGGAGCAAAGATCTTACTGATTGGCAACCTCAACAATGATAACCCAAGTGGGCCAGACGTTTAGATTCAATCTCCCCCTCTGTCTCTCTGTCTCTGTCTTTCTCTCTTTCTCCATCGCTGCCCCCATGCTGAGGACAGTTCTCCACCAACCCCTATCACTGAAGTCTCTCCTTGCACTTGCCTCTACTTGAACAAGTACTCCCCTCTTACATCCCCTCTCTGTCTTAGGAACTCTGGAGTTCTCACACTGATAGGCAGCCCTTTTGAGTAGGAGAACCCTGTACCAGCTCTAGCTCTTGGCTCACAATTGGATGTTGGAAAACATTTACTTTGATCCCTCATTACTGTGTATTTTAACTACATCCTGTTGGAGTGTGCTTTGATCAATTGCCAGATTCATCTATGGTAAAGCTGCTGTTATTTTTCTATCATAATGCAAAAATAAGTGGAACATTTATCATATTATGCATACCACTGTTGTGAATAAAGATTGACATTCAACTTCTGAGTCAAGCTTATTTTTAAAGAAGTGAGAAGGTTGTCAATAGCATCAAAATATCTATGTGTACCTCCTTCCTCTCCTCCTAATTAACATTCCTCATGAGATTTTTGTCTTTCCTTCCACTCACCACACATTAGAAGTTGGCCTGCTAGACCAACTTCTAAGCCACATGCATTGCCCCCTCCCCCCCCAGTTCATCTCCACACCCCCACCCCAAGACCATCTCTTAGCAGTACCTCTGAGTGCTACTAACAAGACTTGTTTGAAATGTGGGTTCAAGTTTGCTGAATGTTTATCTATTTATCCTCTGATGATCACTTACTAGCTTAAAAACAACAACACACACAAAAAAATTTTTTCTTATATCCAGCTTCCTTAGTATTCACAAGCTTAATTAAACATCAGCAGTATAAGTAGTTACATCCTAACATCCAGACACATGACAGGAATTAATAACTTCCTACAGCCTGTGACAGACACAATAAACAACTCAAAACATGGAGCAGTTTGTTTGAAAGCAGCATAATTTGAGTAGTTTTACAAGTATAGTTGCTTCCAGAGAGAGAATCCCAGAAACTCCTAGAACAACTAAGCAGAGATATTTGTCACTCCCACTTACTTTCACAGTTGAAGTTCAAGTTCACAGGAGAAGGTCCAGATTCCAAGGGAGTTAGCCTGGCAAAATCTTGGACTGAATTTAATCTGATGCCTCCAATTTTCAAACAACCTCTCTACATTTCTGTCGGCAATTCATGTAATTGTATTGGCACACACATTTTTCCACTTCAAAAACAACAAAGCCACAGACAAATATTTAATACTGTCAAAGGAAAATAGTACGCTGATCGCCATGCAAAAATTCCAAATAGGGGCATGAGTCCCTGATTTTTTTTTTGGAGTCAGTTCGAATGAATTCCAGATACAGGCTTGGAGCTCTCCTGTGCCAATCCCCTTCCTCCACTCAACCATACATATTATTCAGACACAGGGTACTTTATTAGCCAAGACTCTTTTTAATGTGCTTTAATATATTGAGCTCAATTGAATATGACTGATCATAGCTCTCTGCACATATTGCTAGGCAGATTTCTGGAGTGTACACAGGACTCACTCTGATCAAAAGCAGCTGAGAACACTGGCCTATATTGGTCTGCTTGGAAGCATTCTCAGCCTTGCTTAATCTATCAAGGCTAAAGGGTTCATACCACTTTCTAGGAGTTTTTGAGTTTTGTTTTGTTTTTTTGTTTTTTTTGCCCATGGAGCTAATTCAATGTTAGCCTGAATAAGGCGAGTTAACTGAAACAATTTCTGTTTGTTTTTTTTTGATTACCACAAAATAGACTGAACATAATAGAGTATGGTTTATAAATTCTAAGCTTATGATAACAATCAGAAGCCACAAAGCATGAATTCTAAGCAAATACAGACTAAGTTAAATGTCACAGTCAAATTTACATCAAATTTAATGATACGTATTTAATGATATGCATAATCACAATAATGGCTCAACTACATGGGAAAAAATAATGAAAACAAATATTATCAACTTCACAAATTGACTGGCTCTAAGAACCAGGGAATCCTCTTCAATCTTACAGCAGCTCCCTAAAGACAAAGCCCTACGTACTAATTGTTATTCTATTTCTTCTAAAGCTAGAAGCATAGGCTGGGAATGTACACTGAAGAAGGTCTCAATGGGGCTGGGAAGGTGGCTCAGGGGTAGAGCGCTTGCCTCGCATGCATATGGCCTTGGGCTCGATTCCTCAGTACCACATAAGCAGAAAAAAGCCAGAAGTGGCGCTGTGGCTCGAGTGGTAGGGCGCTAGCCTTGAGCTGAAGAGCTGAGGGATGGTGCCCAGGCCCAAACTTCATTCTCCATGACCAAAACAAAAAAAAGTCTCACTGCACAACACATTCTCAGAAGCTCAAGCAGGATGACCAGAGCTACCAAGAAAGCCAATGGGCTAAGGCAGTGTGAAAGAATCTGAGAAACCTACCACTGGTGCTTAGTAGTCCATTGGGTTGTTTCCGTAACACCTAATGCCCAAAGACTTGGGAATTTTAAGGATTATGAAAGCATTGGCTTCCTATAGAAGAATGGAATATGAATTAGAAAAATGCCCCTCACTCTCCCAAACCTCACACCTTCATTTAATATTTGTTTCACTGACAGGTCTTATCCTCTCTCTCCTCCTTCTTGAATCTCCACTTGGAGATTCCAAAAGCCATTTGGAATTGGGTGAGCCAGCAGTGGGGATGAGATACCCACAAGCATCTGACTCTGTGGCTCCAGACCCGGGAGAGGGAGAGCTCTGTGTTTTGTTTTATTGGAAGGATGTGAGTGTAAGGACGTTTACAGCCTGCTATTGCAAACCGAACCCACAAGGAATTCCAAAATAGGAATGCATAGACTTTTTAATCCAACTACAATCGTTCAGGAAAATGAGAGAAGGATTGTTATCCCATCTGGGTTATAAATGGCTCATGGAAGTTCTTTCCTAAAAGCAAATAAGGGGCATTCTATATTTTATATGAATAATCTGGTCTCTTCAGCTGAGAGTACAAGTAAAGACCATTTAATACTTCTCTCACCTACATTTGAATATTTTCTAATTTCCATGATTAAGTGTCTCTGTAAATTACATAGGAGAGAGGAAAAGAAAGGGAGGGAAGGAAAGCTAAGAAAAGCAAAGGAAAAGAACAATCCACAAAGTATTATACACAGTTCCCATTTCAAATAAGGAAATCTTCACCATTCAAAAGAACTCCAGGAAAGAAAGACTTCTTCAAGAAAGATGAAACAGGTACAATTCACCAACAAATCAAAACCTACTAGAATAATCATCTTTTTATTTCCAAACTGGGAACACATGTTCTGAAGATTTTCTCACATGTACAGTTAAAAGGACATAGTAAGCAGAGCCAACTAAGCCAGCAGCAGAAATCAGGTGAAGCACAAGGTGAGAGTGTTTCTACCCAGGTACGAACACCAGCACTTCACTTTCTTTCTAACTCATCCTTTCTCAACACACTGGGCAGTTGATACAGTACTAGCCATGCCCCCCAATACAGCTCTGAATAACATGGAAAAGTCAGACTCCTTTGAAAGGGAACACACGGAAGGTGAGCCAGGAGAGGTGTCACCTGTCACTGAACCACACACAGTAGGCAGGGACACCCAGGTAGCCTGATAAGGCTGAACAAAGGGTGGTGCTTAGGAGTCAGCAAATGGAGGCTTGCAGGCAGCATGTACCCATAAACCGGTACTCTTTCCCCAGCTGCCCTAGTGTTTCCAAAACAGAAGATCACTCATATCCAGTCAAATGGCTTCTCCTGACACTGTAGAGGTCCATGCCTGGACATGCAATCCCAACTGGTCTTCAGTAATAGGGTCACCTAGCTGTGTCTCACTTTCTATTTGCCAGTCTCCATCTCCCCCTAATGCTTTATATCTGAACTAACTTCATCCTTAACTTCACATTGCAGGTCCCTGGAGGTAACCACAACTTGATCTCATCAGTGACACCAACAGAAGAACTTCAGATTCCAAACCCCATTACAGGAATTTTTGGTGGTTTGGAAATTCCAGTAAATTCTGCTGTTGTATTCTGGTCAACTTTTTTTTCTCCTCTATCATATAGGACTAACCATGACAAATTCATCTGCCTAGTATTTATATGTCATTTTACAATGCTATAATTGAATATTAGGATAGTAAGTTTTCAAATACACAGTGAACTTAGTTGCTACATCCCAATTATCTTTAAAATACAAACTATGTCTCTATACAGATCTGATATTCCTGCCCCAGTGAATGTGGAAAAGAGTCTCCATTGTCAGTCAGGTGTGAGACATGAATGAAAAAGTGATACCTTATAAAATATGAATACCCTGGTATGTGATACCAAGAATTCAATGGATGACCAAATTAGGCAGTGAGGGCATATTTAAGACTAGCACTGTGTTAGAAAACCAAAACAAGACAAACCAACTCACCAGTTCCAGACATTGCCTGTGGCCGTAGGCAGCAGCATAGTGGATACTATTGTAGCCTTCTTTGTCCTGGATGGATGGATTGGCATCATTCTGAAGCAGGAACTCTAAACATCTGTAAGCATAAAGATGGTGTGTTGTTTTAGAAAGCATCTCTGGACCCAAAGGGATAATTAGTATAAATCTCCCTATCATGAAAATTCTACACAGCAAGTTGTAATCTTAAGTGTTTCTTTAGTCTAGTGCAATGAAGCTTTATGTACTAGAAGATATTTATATGCATGTATGTACATATATGTACACACATATGCACACATGCACACCAACACAAACACACATACTCAGTTTCTGTAGCTATCCTAGTATTAAGAAAATGCTTTAAGAGCAAGGGGGTAGGGCTGGGAAGGTGGCTCAGTGGTAGAGCACTTGCCTTGCATGCATGAGGCCCTGGGTTCGATTCCTCAGCACCACATAAGCAAAAAGAAAAAAGCCGGAAGTGGCGCTGTGGCTCAAGTGGTAGAGTGCTAGCCTTGAGCTGAAGAGCTGAGGGACAGAGCCCAGGCCCAGAGTTCAGGCCCCATGACTGGACCCTCCCCCCCCCCAAAAAAAAAGAGCAAGAGGGTAATTAAGTGGTTATTCCTTTTCTTCCCAAAATACAGAATGTATCTATCATCAAGATTACTGAATAATTAGATTTTGATCTCCTAGTTCAATAGATGAAATCTGAAATATTATGAAGTGGTCAGGCATTGAAACTTAGCACACCCAGAAGAATAGGGATTATTTTGGAAATTTTTATTGGGGTTAAATAAAATCTTCAAATAGAGTAAGAATAAAAGAACCTGATAATAGTCTGAATAACAAAAAGATTAAAGGAATAAGTGAACACTATAAAATATAAAGAAGGGGGGTTGGGGGGAGGGAAATGGGAGAAAAATGAGGGGGTAACAAGTTCAACAAGAAATGTGCTCACTACCTTACATATGTAACTAACCCCTCTGTACATCACCTCGACAATAAAATTAAATTAAAAAATATATAAAGAAGTAATTCAGTAACTACATATGAAGAAAGAAGCTTATCATGAGGAATACACACTAGAACAAAATAACTTGAATAGTCTTCACTGACATAGACTAGAAGGAGCCTAGCTCCACTTTGCTGAGGAGTCGTAGGTCTAGGGCCCCAAACTTCTGGACACAGGTCCCCAGGGATGCAAGGCCTATTGCAAAAAGTCCAACTATGCTGGGAGAGGCAGGAACAACTCAAAAGGGGCAACATTCCATAGTTTTAGTATTATTTCTGTGACAGAGGAACACACATGCCCTTTACAAGGCCACAGATTCAATTTCACTCTCAAATCAATACTTCAAGATTTTGAATATAAGTCAGTATTTAGAGATTTTAAATACATTAAGTCCTTCCAATGGAAACTTTCAAAGGTCACTCAGAAACTTCTAAATGACCTTTGCCCTCCTTTTGGCATAAGGTAAATAAATCACACATACTTTAATTTCTAGAAAACTGATTAAAAAAAAAAAAGACCAAAAAAATTAAACCAGTACCTAAGTGTCTTATTTATTCATAAAATGCTCCATAATAAATCAAATTTTTATTAGAGTCTTGCTACCATGCTATTTTTGGTTATTTGAACCTTATAAGGAAGTACTCTGTCATTCTGGTAATTAAAAGTCCATGGACAGGATCCAAGGTATGACTCATTGTAAACCAACTTGCTCTTTAAATAAAGTCATTCAATAGGAACAGCATTTTAGTGCCCACATAAGCCTCAGCTTTTGAATGGATTGTATTCTAAGAATCAGTTGATACAGAAATTGTAATTTGGGAAACATTTGGAATTGCTCCTAAAAACTTATTTAACCCAGATTATTAACTCAATTATATAAACAATAATTTGGATAGTCTCCATATGGTTTTTCCAAAGAAAATATGAATTCCAGGTTTTAATTGGAAATGCTGCTTATCTTTTCTCCTCCCAGGGCCCCACTAGCAATTTTGGCACCTAACATGCAAAATCAACAGAAGCATATTAGGTCAGGATGTATTTGGATGAGATGGAAGGCCTGGCCTTCCTTCATATGGAGGAGCTCTTAGGCTGCTGGTTCACAGCCCGTCTCTTCCATCCCTGCCCCATCTACTCCATCACTGTAAGTGAGGGCAGGGCTGGCCCAGGACAAGCATGCGATCCATGCACTTGGGAAAAATGGGTACTTTCTGTGGTGGAGTGAAATTCTATGATTTTTATTATTTTTAAATTGGGAGCATTAGGGTAACACCACGGTCATTCTGCTGAATTCACAGGTGGTGTCTCCTGCCTCTGCTCACCAAATGGTTATGCTCTGTAACCTGTACCAGGACACATTCTCTAATTCCCTGGACACAGTGGGGTAAGCAAGCATATCCGGTTGGGGCGTTGAGAAGACCCCACAGAAGACACCAGCATTCAGGTCACAGACAATAGTTCCTCTGGCATCCAGAGAAGAGAATAAACAAATTAGAGCACATGATCCTGAAAACTTGTACAGGATTAGATATCCCTTGGGTCCCAAAGGGTACAACACAAAGTGTGAGCACCAGTTCATTTGTTTATTCAACAGTTACTGCAGACTGGCTCCACACCAGTCACTGCACCAAAACTGTGACTGAACTGTCAGAGAAGGAAGCCCTAAAGCTCATGTGTGTCCAAGCCCTCGGGTGACAGTTGGCATGCAGCTCCCACCACAGCAGTGGTGTGGGATGAAGTGGTCAGGGCAGATGTGTACAGGGGGCTGTTTGTAAGTTGATGGTGCTGGAGAGGGAGGTTATGGGACAAGTTACAACTGGGAAAAGATGACACTGTCACCACAACCTCAAGACTTTCATTTACAGCCTCTGTAAATAGTTGTCCTCGGGTCACAAAGCCTAAGTAAGGCCTGAGAGGAGACTCAATATGTCCCCAGAGGCCTATTATGCATAGCAGAGTGAGAAATGATATTTAAGACCTGAAACTGCTGACCAGTCACAGCAATAGTCAAAACAAGCTTAGTTTAGAAAAAACACCCTTTGTAAAAGCAGCATAGCTGAAGGGTATACTAAAAGAACAGTTTCTTCTCCATTAAAGGCAAGCCCATAACACTCCTTCAAGATCCCAATGAAGCCCCAAAATAGACAGGCAGGCCTGGCAATCCAGAGACAAAGTATCAGAAATGGCACCTTGTTTTGTGTTTTGTTTTGTTTTTAAAGCTCAGAAACTTACAAAGCGGCTTCCTTTTCCTTCATCTCCCTGGCTCTTTCAAGTTCTTCAGAATTTTCATGGCCATTTCCTAAGATAGTCTTACTTCTCGGCATAAAAGATAGAAAGAAAATCACAATTAGCTTTTAAAATGGCACAGTTGTTAATAGTTTTCATACAATTGTATCTCGGTGGCTTTTGACCCCAATCTCAAAGGAATAAGCACCCCTGATTTTCAAGTGGATTCTCTCCAAAAAATCTAATTTCTCCTAAAGGATCCAACTGAGAACATGACTTTCCTAAAACTTCTGCCTAGGTGTCAGTGATGAAGACAACCACTGAGTTACCTACCCTTCCAGAAACAGCCTACAACTCTACCGGTAAACAGGAGGCATGTATCTCAAATGTTTCTAACTCCTACCAAATTCTTTGCTGTCTCCTTGCCAGTTCAGCATTTCATTTACACAGGAAGAGCGGGATCCTGATCTCCTCTCATCAGACAGAACAAACTGTCTTGTAGGATTATAGCTCTTAACAGATGAAGTATACTTCTTTTTCATCTCCTCGCCAGCAACTCTAACTCTTCTCCAAGTGAGTAGCATAGCATCTGGTATACACCAGGTGCCCCATAAATGTTAGCTGAATTAATAACCTGCATATGGATAGGAATCTGAGTGCCTGGATTTCTTATTACTATACAGTAAATATAACATTTATATAAAAATACAAGGATGAAGGACATTTTTATACTCATATGTTTTCCAAACTATGGACCATAACCCATTACTGTATTATGAAAGTTTCATAGGGTGCAGCCAGCTGATTTTGAAGTCAACTGAAATAGAAAAGATCGGATTCATCACATACAATAAATGCAAATATGTTTTTTGAATCTTTTATTTCTGCCTTACATACATAGAAGTGTGAATGTGTGCACTGAGTCAGGACGTAAGCTGTGTTTCTACTGTGAATATAAGATTCACTTGCTTGGGTGGGGGGTGGAGGGGGAGGCTGGGAAGGGATGTGAAGAGTAAACAAAGGAGGAGGCTGCAATGCTTGATAAGAAATGTACGCATTAACCTGCCCATGTAATTGTAACCCTTCTGTACAGTGTGTTCACAAAAAATAAAAATAAATAAAAAATAAAAATAAAAAAAAGAAGAAAAAGAAAAAAAAAAGATTCACTTGCTGTGGATCAGCATTTAAATGTTTGAAGGAGGTCAGATAAGTTGATGTTAGGTGAAATGAACCCCCAAGATAAGGACGCAAATGGTTTTTCTTTCTTGCTATTGTTTCTAATATATTTATAAGATGATTTCTTTATTGCTTTGTATGTCCCTCCCTCATGGTATAACTCTGTTTTTGCTGTATTTGATGTTGGTATAATTTGGGGAGGGGAAGGGACAAAACAAATTGTTTAAATAAGGATACAGGTGGACCCATTGAAACAATGAGATGTACAAGACGTTATGTTGAAAACCGAACTTTACAACTTTGGTGCAGGGAGGGAGGCAGGGGGAGTGGAGAGTTGGAGAGGGGGGAGCTGGGAAGGGATGGGAAGGGGAAACAAAGGAGGAGGCAACAATGCTTGATAAGAAATGTACTCAAGGGCTGGGAAGGTGGCTCAGAGGTAGAGCGCTTGCCTTGCATGCATGAGGCCCGGGTTTGATTCCTCAGCACCACATAAGCAAAAAAAAAAAAAAAAAAGCAAGAAGTGGTGCTGTGGCTCAAGTGGTAGAGCGCTAGCCATGAGCTGAAGAGCTGAGGGACAGTACCCAGGCCCAGAGTTCAGGCCCCATGACCGGACCCAAAAACAAAACAAAACAAAGAAATGTACTCATTACCTTGCTCATGTAATTGTAACTCCTCTGTATGGTATTTTCACAATAAAAAAAATGTTTGAAGGAACTCGGGGTATAGCTCAGTGGTATAGCCCATGCTTGGCTTAATTATATTTGTAAATAAAATAAGATGTATGCTAACCATTGTTCTATAAAAGAACCCATTAGCATTGACCTAGAATCAATTGAAAAGCATAGGACAGCAAATAATTCAATTCTTCAAATAGGATCATCAAAAAGGAATCCTATGAGGAGCATCTGCCTTTAGTCTTTGAAAAAACTTACACAAATCATGGAGTGGATCCTCCCCGCCCCCCTTTTCTTCTTGAACTGGTCTACTAATTTCTGCTTTCCATTCCTACCCATCTAGAATTCAAATATGTCTAAGTAACCAATATTCTCTCTTCCTGCTGCCCAAAGAGCATTTATACCCAGATTTCTATCATCCTGAGTCTGCATTGCAGGTTGCTGGGGTCATGCTCAGTGGATGATTTTGATGCATAAAATAAACCAGTGTAAGCCTTCTAGACAATGGAGCATTTAGGTGCTGCTGACGAAAACTATGGTATATGTCAAATAAATTACATCAGATTTTAAATGTCCTGAAAAAACCCAGGCTTGACAGCTCCACTTGGCATTTAACCCAAGCAAAGAAGAGAAGGAATTGTGCAGTGACATGTAATAATCAAACATTAAGAGCAGAGTTGGGGGGTGGGCAGGAGAGGAAAAAGAGCAGAATGGGAAAACACAAGTTACAGACAAAGCAAATCTAAGTCCTCTGGGTCTGAATGAAACAGATTCTTCATTGTCAGTTTCCAGGAGGCAGAATGAGACACAGCAGACCCTCTCTGTTCCCAGTCCTAACCCAAATAAGCATGAGCAAAGTGGATGTTACCTTCTGTCTATGTCTGATGCAGCAGCATAGTGTAGTGCTGTCCGCCCCCAGTCATCTGTTTCATTAACGTTGGCTCCTGTGGTCACTAATGTCTCAATACAATGGAAATGACAATTTGCAGCTGCATAATGCAAAGGAGTCCTGAAAAACAAGCAGCCATTTATTACTTCCGTCTGGAAAATACCATCATCAACCCAAACCCTGGTGGTGAGATGCCTGGGGCTGTGGAAAGCTCTTTTGTTTTGGCAGTGTGAAGCCAAGGAACCACTTTCTCTTGACTATAGAAAGTCAAAATGGTGGCTTCAGGTAAACCCAGCCAGGGTGGATCTAGCCTTTCTATCCTAAGTGCTTATTCAAGTTCAGTGTCTATATTATTGTTTTTTGATACCATATTAAGATCACCCCTATTTAAGAACCATCAAGACAAGCCCCATGAGCTGAGGGTATGACCCAAATGGTAGAATACCTGTCTAGCAAGTACAAAGTCCTGAGCTCAAGCCTTAGGAACACACACACACACACACACACACACACACACACACACACACACACACACACACGTACAAAGTCCTGAGCTCAAGCCTTAGGAACACACACACACACACACACACACACACACACACACACACACACACACACACACACACACACACACCCCATACCCATTAAGCCCACATCTAGGGGCTGTTAGGATAGAGGAAGGGAGTCAAAAGGAGAAAAAGAGTGGGGATTAGGGGAGACTATGCCCACGTGGATGAAATGTTACAATGAAACCCACCATTCTGTGTAATTATTATTCACTAATAAAAATGTTTTTTAAAAAGCAACAAATTTTTCCTAGGCTATAGTGAAGCTTCTATTTAATTTCTAGTTGGTATGAATGAAGAACTGAATTTTCTTTTTTTCTTTTTTTTGGGGGGTGGGTGTCTGGTCGTGAGGCCTGAACTCTGGGCCTGGGCACTGTCCCTCAGCTCTTCAGCTCAAGGCTAGCGCTCTACCACTTGAGCCACAGCGCCACTTCCGGCTTTTTTTCTTTTTGCTTATGTGGTGCTGAGGAATCAAACCCAGGGCCTCAGGCATGCAAGGCAAGCGCTCTACCACTGAGCCACTTCCCAGCCCAAGAACTGAATTTTCTTTTTTTTTTTTGGGGGGGGGGTCTGGTCATGGGGCCTGAACTCTGGGCCTGGGCGCTGTCCCTCAGCTCTTCAGCTCAAGGCTAGCACTCTACCACTTGAGCCACAGCGCCACTTCCGGCTTTTTTCTTTTTGCTTATGTGGTGCTGAGGAATCGAACCCAGGGCCTCAGGGATGCAAGGCAAGCGCTCTACCACTGAGCCACTTCCCAGCCCAAGAACTGAATTTTCTAAAGTACAATTTCCACATAGGACAGTCTTGTTTTAAAGCCTTCAGTCTTCTCCACTGACAAAGGCTTGCTGTCTTAGCCTGGAATTGAAAACCTTCCCTTCATTTTGTTTATAGAGTGTCTCTCTCCCCTGTGTACATTATGTGCCAACTAGTGTATCCACACGGAATAACGTAAGAGTTCATGTTCCTACTTCCATCCATCTCTGCTCATGTGGGTTTTTTGAACAACCTGTCCCCATAACAACTCCGTTCATCATTCATGTCCCAGAAGATAGTTGTCATTTCAGGAATGCTTAGCTACTGAGCTTCCCTGGTACTTACATTACATATTGCCTCAATTTTAGCTCTCAGCACATTCTCCACAGAACTAGAAGCTCCTCGTGGGCAGGGGTGTAGGTTCAGGGGAAGAATTATTCATAGAATCAGGTTCTAGTTTGCAAACTAGACCAAACTGTGTCCTCTATCTGGCCTTGGCTTCCTCATTCTTATTTTAACAGAAATCTGAAGGTCTGAAATTCTAAATCACTTCCTAAGTGATTTAGTTCTTCTGGGCTCAGATTTCTTATCTATTGAAACAGATAATAGGCTCAGTGCTGGTAGCTCACACCTGTAATCCAAGCTACTTGGGAAGCTGAGATCTGAGGATAGCAGTTTGAAACCAGACTGGGCAGGAAAGTCTGTGAGACTCTTAATCTCCATTTAACTACTAAAAAAAGCCAGAAGTGAAGCACAAAATCTCAACAAGAGTACCCAGGCTGAGTTCAACCCCCAGGATAGGCTCAAAAAACAAAAACAAACAAACAAAAAAGACCAGATAATAGGCAGTTTTGTATATCTCATAGAGTTACTATGAGAAAACTAGGAAATAATATCCAGTGAACATAAGCATCTTGTAGAATGCTTGTCTAGTATGGGCAAGGTCCTGGGTTCTATTCCTAGTAAGGCAAAAGGGGAGGGGAAGGTATGGAGAGGAGAGAAGAGGAGAAGAAAGAAGAAGAGAGGAGAGGAGAGGAGAGGAGGAAGGAAATGCTCAGGATACTCACAGCTAGGTGAAGAGAAAGACAAGAAAACAGAGTCCACAAAGACATAGTGACATGAGCTGGTGCTAGGGAAGCAGACAGGGTACTCCCATCAGAATGGCAAGAATGTACGAAGGTGTCATGTGACATGATCTGGAAGGATAGGAGGATCTGTCTTAGGTAGATTGGCAAGAAATGAGATCTGAGGCAACTCCAAAGAGCAGAGCTAGGGTTCCAGTGGACAGGAGGTATAGAGAGATGCTACAGGAGGAGAAGGAAAACATATATAATATATTCATATATGCTGCTTATTGACTAACATGTTTTCTAAGAAAGAGATGATTTCTTCCTTGTGCAAACACAAACCTAGATTTATATTATATATAATATATATTTTATATGATGTAATATATAATACTATATAATAATATATTATAGTTATATGTTATTGTATTTAAATTACAAACAGACACATAATGTACCTGGCTAGCATATTATGGCACAGTTCAGCAATACACAGATCTATTTGTTTCTGGTGCTTTGGTTTTTTGCATTTAATATTTCCAATATGTCTAAGGTCTTTTCCCAAGATGAAAGGGCTAATACAGAAAACAAAATCTCTGGATTTTATGACTAAATTCTGGGTTTGGATGGCTCAATTGTTCTATCTGCTATAAACATAATTTTCTAAATGATATTCATGAAAAAGGAGAGAGACAATCAGCCTCTCCAAGCAGACACTGGGAAAAAGGGGCTTCCCTTCTGGCATGTGTTGGCCCTGGCAGCATTCCTTCCAAGAAGAGATTTCCTCTGGAGGATGGAATCTCCCACCATCCCCCTGCTGACCATCTCAAAAGCACAATTTCTCAATCGACTACTCCTCACTCCTCCATTTGTGCACTCAAGGTGCCCTGATTACTTACCGCCCGCATTTGTCCTTTTTACGGAAATCTGCTCCACTGCTCTGCAAGAGTTTTATACATTCCACATTACTAGAAAGACAGGGAAAATATCATTAAGATGTTAACACTTAATCGTTGTTCTATCTTCAGAAAGAGCTGTATTCCACAGGGATTATAATAAGATGAAAGGGTAGCCCCAGGTTTAAAATTCTACTAGCAAGAAGTAACACGAACAAATCTCAGTAATGCCATTTTGTATGGATCTAAAGTTCCTTTTCCAAAGCTAATAAATCAACAAGTTAAAGTGCTTTGTGGAACCTTTTCAATTCCATGATCATGTAATGATCATTACATGATAATACCTTCCAGTGATAGCCTCATCAGTTATCCTAAAATTCTTTTCAACACCATCAAGAGCTTATGAAACAACCACTTCAACCTATAATAACGTTATGTCACCTTTAAACAATGCGCCAGAGTGGATGAGCTCTGCCTTTTATCACAGCAGAATAAATTTCCCATGATAACCATTTTCGCCTAAATATTCCTTAATGGAAAATAAAACATCTGCATTTCCCTTGCCTTGTGATCAAGGCAAATAAATGAGCAGTGGCAACCCTGGAAATAATGTAATGGTGTACAGTGATCTACCAAAGCTCCTTTGTCATTTAGAGGAGCTATAAATCACACTTAGTAGAGTAAAAAGGTCCTATTGAAATGAATTATCCTGTTGAAGTGCATTGTTGCTAAATATTAATTCTAGTAAGAATTTCCAATTGGAATCCAAAATGGGTTGCCACTTTTCTGGATATTTCTGATTTTTTTTAATACAGGAATAAAAAGAGATAATCATCCATGGCTACATTCATGGTTTTCTAAACTTGGGATGTTAAGAAGTGACCTGGAATATATTGTTTTATTATAATTTAAGTAAGTAAAGTGATCTCATCAATGATAAGCCTGAGCAGAGCTCTCCATACCCCACATCTATCCTTTACAGCCATCTTTCTCAGAAAACCAGCTACTTCAGTTGTAAAATATAAGAACTTTTAAAAGGAAGTGAGTGTTGGTATAGCATACCAATTAATTCAGCCCATACAGCTCTTCCTGAATGATGGCAAAGGATTAAAGGCAGAGGCAGACCAAGGTATGTGGCTCATAACTCACTCCATTTAGGGGCTAAGATGGAAGCAAGGGCCTCTTCCTTCCATAAAATACAATTATGAGCTTAAAACTAGGTATAAAACTAAATTAAATTCAATGTATATAAGGACCCAGAAGCTTGTCTCTGATAAACAGCTAGTATGTTTGATAAGATAGAGATGACAGATGGAGAAACACTACTATACAGACTAGGAAATGAAAAAAACAGCACCTTAGCAATATATGGTCATCTAAAAGACGCTATGTTTGGTCAATGTACGGTCATATATTAATATATTGATCAGAGGCTTAATTAACCACTGATATGAAAAATAGCTAATATTCTTTTTATAACACCCAAATAAATGTGAAGAAATCACTTCTTGCCTTTCCCCCTCCTTTTTACTTTTTTTTAACCTTTGTTCATATTCAATCCTTACAAGGATTTAAAAATCAGCTTCAAAATAAGGACAAAATGAGGACATAAAAGAGATAAACTTAGAAACAAATTTCAAAAAAAATTGTTTTGATAGAGGCGATACCAAACAGATATATAGCCTTCAGTCTGGAAATCTGAAGAAAGTAGCACAGAGGTGGAGGAGGGGGGAGAACGAGGAGAAGGAGGAGGAGCAGGAGGAGGAGGGAAGAAAGAAGAAAATAATAATAAAAAAATCTTTGTTTGCTATATGAAATGAGCTAATAACTCCTATTTAGTATAACAAAATGCAAGTCATCTGGAAATGCAACTTGTGATAACTGATATTTGGTAGAAATTATTTTTACCCAATTTACTAAGAAAATTGCCTTTGGTTCACAGACAACTTAAGTCAATGAAGATATATTAAGTAATTAAGCCATGAAATAACTAAAATTGCTAAATACTCACCCTCCTGCAGCAGCAGCATGAAGGCACGTTCTTCCAAATTTATCTGGGGTGTCTATTTCAAAGCCTGCAGACAGCACGTGCTCATTACTAAACAAGGATACTATGCTATACTTTTGTCCTAGTCAAACCACAAGAAACATCGCAGAGACAGAAAAAATCAGTTAGTAGGAAAACCAGAAAGCAAGCAATTGTAGTCAGAAAGAGGTTGTCATGGAAACGAATGGTAACTGCTCAAGCTTGGCGATTTTCTAGGAAGCACCGTGAAGTCAAGAGGATTTATTTTCACATTCAGCCCTGGGTGAACCATAGCCCCATTTTTCAATCCCAGGATAGAAATTTATGAAGCCAATTTGAGATAAGTAGGGCAATAGATAGGCAGACAGAACACATGAAGAAAATACAGAAGGCCAAGGACTGATCCTAGCAAGCAGGAATAGGTTTTGTTTTTTTTTTAAATGTATTCCAATCTTTCAGATTTGGGAAAACAGGCTTTCATGCAGGGATTATTTTTAAACATGCCAAAAGCAGTGACAGTGGAATCAACCACAGGGAAAGTACTTAAAAGGGGAAAGGTGCCTCTGGGTTATCTGATGAATTAATTCATCAACAATCTTTGCCTGGCAGACCTCTACCACTTTTGGAAGCCAGGAAACTCCTTAAAGTATGAAGATTGGCAGAGGTAGTGATAAGAAAGATTAGCAAATCTCTAAGTCAGAAATAATGTCTTGGTTCCAAATAGCTTCGCATTACAAATATAAAAATTGAGTTAGAGGAGAGTTAGCCTGAGTGAATTTTCAGTGCCCAGCAACTTGGAAGGTAACATAATAATTTCTACCACTACAACATAGGCAATTTGGCCTCTTGTTGAAAAAATGTTAAGAATCATTTTGAACATCAAAGAGGTTTGTTTGTTTGTTTTGCCAATCATGGGGCTTTAACCCAGGGCCTGAGCACTGTCCCTGAGCTCATCTTGCTGAAAGCTAGTGCTCTACCACTTTAAGCCACAGACATTTCCTGTTTTCTGGTGGTTAACTGGAGATAAAGGTCTTACAGATTTCTTGCCTGGGCTAGCTTGAACCTCAATCCTCAGATCTCAGCCTCTTGAGTGGCTAGGATTATAGACATGAGCTACCAGTGCCCTGGCTCAAAGATATTTTTTGTTTTTAATAATGTAAACTTCCTATCTGCTCTGCCCATGTAGGCTTCTCTTTTATCCTGGATTATCATCGAAATTTAACAAAAATTCAGACAGGACTCTCACTTCAGACAGGAATACTGACATCCCAACAGCTTCAATTCTAGGGAGTTGTCACATGCACTTTGAAAACACTTCCCTTCACCAAGGCAGGTAATGACATGAATGAAGCACAGGCAGCCACTCACTGGGACCAGACACCTGACTCATGGACAGCACACACTAAGACTAGTCTGGGCATTGATGTACTTACCTGATGAGAGCAACTTTCTGCAGCAGTCAGAGTGAGCGTTTAGGGCAGCTAAATGTAAGGGGAACATGCTATGGATTCCACACCTGAGGAGGAAAAAAAAAAGAGCAGCTCACAGCAACAGATCCCAAGATACATGTGCAGAAGGACAATTGTCTTTCAAGAAGTTCTCAGATGAAAATGTTCATTAAGGACCCATGGCCGGGCTAGGAATATGGCTTAGTAGTAGAGTGCTCGCCTAGAATGCATGAAGCCCTGGGTTTGAATCCTCAGTACCACATACACAGACAAAGCTGGAAATGGTGCTGTGGCTCAAGTGGTAGAGTGCTTGCCTTGAGCACAGAGAGGCTCAAGGACAGTGCTCAGGACACATGGCAGAGATAACCTTATAAAGCTCCAATTCAATAAATATTTATGTGCCAGGCACCAGTGTCTCACACCTATAATCCTACCCTATTTAAGAGGCTGAGAGCTGAGGACTGGGGTTGGAAGCGAGCCTGGGTAGAAAAGTCTATGAGACTCTTTTTTTTTATTTTTTTATTGTGAAAATACCATACAGAGGGATTACAATTACACCGGCAAGATAGTGAGTGCATTTCTTATCAAGTATTGTTGCTTCCTCCTTTGCTTCCCCTCCCCTCCCTTTCCCTTTACACCCTCCCCCCCACTCTGTGAGACTCTTATCTCCAATTAATCACCAAGAAGTTGGGGAGCTGTGGCTCAAGTGCTAAGAATACTAGCCTTGTGCACAAAAGCTCAAGGACAACACTCTAGCCCTGAGTTCAAGCCCCAGGACTGGAGAAAAAAAATCAATATGCAATCAATATGCAGTTACTTTCTACCTTAAAATAGGATCTAAAATTCTGGATCAAACCACAACAAAAGCTAGGCACTGATGACTCATGCCTGTAATCTTAGCTATCCAAGAGGCTGAGATCTGAGTTTCACAGTTAGAAGCCATCCCAGTTAGGAAAGTCCCTGAGACTTTTATGTCCAATTAACCAGCAGAAAGCTGGAAGTAGAATTATGGCTCAAGTGGTAGAGTGCCAATCTTGAGTAAAAATGCTAAGTGAGAATATGAGGCCCTATCGTTCAAGCCTCAGGGCAAGCAAAAGAAGAGGAGGAGGAGGAGGAGGAGGAGGAGGAGGAGGAGGAGGAGGAGGAGGAGGAGGAGGAGGAGGAGGAGGAGGAGGAGGAAGAGGAGGAGGAGGAAAGGAAGGGAGGGAGAGAGGGCAGAAGGAAGGAAGGGAGGGAGGGAGCGAGGGAGGGAGGGAGGGAGGGAGGAAGGTAGGTTCGATCTATGTCAATAGGAATGTATATTTTTAAGAAAATATGTTTCATGGGGAATGGTATCATTGCCTTACTTGTATAACTGTAACCCTTCTGTTAATCACCTTTACAATACATTTTTTTAAAAAGAAAGAAAATGCATTTCATACAAAGGGTTTAAAAAGTTGATTTCCTTCATTTCTCTCAGCTTAGTGACTGTATGTGACATTCGTTTGTTCACTCACTCCTCTGTTCAACACTTCCACATCAGATGGTATGCTACGTGACATAGATAACAAAGCTGAGCATGACCAACTCTCTCAGAAAAGCGGCCTGTTTTATTCCTTGATTTGAACAAACAAATACTTACTGACCTATTATGTGCCACACTGTATCATTCAAAATAAACTTTTCCCTTAATTTATGACAGGAGGAATTTAAGAAAGGACTGGTTAGACTGACCTCTGTTCTAACACAGGCTTCAGGGTAATCCCTCCAGGGAGAGACAAGCATCTCACAAGGGCATTTCCTGCCTTTAATATTAATTCAATCCTCCTCCTCTCCCATAGCTATGTGCAGAATTTTAGCTCCTAACAAACATCATCATTAGGTAGTTCCTATGTTTTCGCAGGTTATTTATGTTTGGAACCATTTCTCAAAAAGATCTCATTTTAATCAAATAATGCACTTCAGATTTTCAACCTTCCTTATACAACACAAGCAAGTAAGGGACTCCATCTATTTCCATCCTGCGGCATTAATTACCAAAGTTTCTTCTCTAACGCGCAGTGACCTGTTTTTAGAGATTTTATGCTTCATGAAGAAACACAAATCATTTGTATTTGCTAAGCTTTAGTTACATGAATTTGATTTCCCATCTCTAAAGTTATCATTTACTATTCATATGAATGTGTGAAGGTATATTCATGTTCGCAAATATCTCATGGGATTTGGTGTTTAGTCCAATCTGAGTCTCTCAGTAATTAACCCTACTATCTCTCTCCATGCTAACATCTCTCTATTTGCTGGTGTTTTTGTTCTATCTCCCCTCTGCAGGTCTGGCTTTCCCTATATGGAGATCTCCCGCCCATGGTATGTAATAGCTGGCATCCATCAAGAGATGCAATTTGCCAGTCTTCCAGGCAGTGTCATGTGGAGGAGAACTGCTTGTAATTGCCTCTCTCATCACTTACCAAAAAAAAATTCCGAAAAGAAATTGCATCACTGTGACCTTAGTGTTCATAAAGAGGAGGGAATTGGGGGGTGGGAGTGAGGATTCTCTATGCTATTATTTGTCTCGTTCCCTCTTGAGTATAATGGAAGCATACTAATTTTTTTTTAATGTATAATATGTGGTAAAAAGCTCCTTACTAACTGAACTAATGGGATTTTACCTAGTCATTTTGTTTGTTTGAGGGAGTTAAAGCAAACATTCATGATTATAGGCCTCTGTGCTTTTGGCAAGAAAGAAATGGATAGAGTATTTTCTTAGGATAGTTTTAAGTATCTGAAAGGACAAACCTGAAATCAGGAACTACATTTCTTTGAACTTGCTTCATTCTTTAAATATATATGTACACGTATATACGTATGTATATACATATGAATAATACATCTTATGAGGATATATGAAATATATTTATATAATGCAATATAAACAACATCAAAGCCTAGAAGAAACCAACTGGTAAAACAAAAAGTACAAATGATAGAATAACAATGAATTACATTCATTCACATGAATAATACATTCATTCCATAAACTTCATTACCAATACTTCTAATTGACCTTGCTACTTAACTCTCTTGTCCTGAGGCAATTCATCACACTCTACATTAACTAATTGTTTCATTTTTTACTGCTACTAATAAAAGAGAAGATACACAAAATTAATTTGCAATGCATAGAAAAAAATCTGCTTGATGCATATTTTTTGCATATTTAATAGAAAGTTGCAACCTCAATAAAGATTGTGAAAAAGTATTAATGTAGACTCCAGTACTACTGAGATTTGACTAGGATCCTATGGTTTAAACAGTCAAGATGCACATAAGATTGGAAAGAAAAGATGTACAGAATTCAGACTCTCTGAATCATGTCAAAAAGGATTTACTCATGTAGTTATAAGATTGCTTATAAAAGAAGGCTTTTAGGTTAGAAAACTCTAGGATTAGAACTGGACTGCCAGGTAAGAAGCATCACTCTGACTTCATCAGGTTATATCAAGGAACATCAAGAATCAAGACATGAAATAAGCCTAAAGTTAACAATGCATAAGTTACAGGAAAGGGGAGGCCAATTCCTGTTAAATAGCTGCATCTATTTGACAAGTCATAAAATTAATGGAACCCATTTGTATTTAGCTTTTTCTAATTTAGTTGTGAGCTGGCATGATATACCTAGCTATTTCAGAATAAATGAGGTCTAAAGACTGTCCTTGTGGAGAGCTACCAGAGGTGAAGAAAGGGCTTTTGCATCATTAGAATATGGGCTCTTTTTCAGCTTTCCTCTTGGCATCATAGGACATGGCTGCCCCTTCTTACATCCTGTCTTTTCTAGAACACTCCCCTCAGGTCATGAGGTAAAGAACACATTGACCAAGATAATAGGGTCAATACTAGTTGTTCTGCTTGCTAACTATTTGATCCTTGGACATGCATAATGATTCACTCAACAGGAAAATAAAGGTAACTAGAGTGTCTGTATTATAGAGAGATAGTAAAGACTTGGGATAGTGCATAAAAAAGTGCTTTAAAAGAGCATCTAGCACATGATAAGCCCCACCACTGACATCATTAACTTATTTGATAACTGGTGGTCTGAGTTGTGAAGCTATAGGGAAATTTGGCTTCCATTCAACTAGGTATGTGATTGCTTAAAAGCTGCAAATTAATTGTGATCTTGTGATCAGCTATCATTTCTGCCTTAAACATTCTCCATCTTTCTAATCCTTTACAATACTTAGTTTTCAATTCTCCCAAGGAAGTAGGACTTGTTTTCTTTTTCCTACAGAGTAGAGAAGACAGCACATTTTCTAAATTTGGGGTGGAATAGCTTTATAATTCTTACCTGAACTCTGCCTAGACTTTTTAAAAAATCATATTTTTCAGACTCAAAGAAACGCAGGTTGCATGGTTTCCCTCATTTATGGCAAGTAGAATGTGCCTATAAACCTACAAGTAAACACACTGGACGGTTAAATAACAAATACACTAAGAGGACAAATTACACAGGTCTCCAGGCATTCACACAGAGTGAGGCCAAAGGAGAATATTATTAGGAGCAGGTCACATAGTTACAATAGCTATGTGTACCTGATCATATAAAATAATATTTATCAAAATGAACCCCAAGAAATGGAAACAAGAGGGATTTTTTTCTTTTCCTTTTGTCTTATTTGTTCATTTATCTGTCTTGGGGAGAGTAAGGGAAAGGCACAGAAATGGTGGAACAAAGGGTGAACAAATGTAGCAGTGATACTCACTGTTGAAAATGAACTATACAACTTGTGGGTGGGGATGGGAAGGAAAATCTATGAGAGAGTGAGGGAAGGGATGACATTGTTCAAAAAGAAATGTATTCTTTAGCTGACTTGTATAACTGTAACCCCTCTGTACATCACCTTTTCAACAACAATAAAAATCATATTTGTTATGAATTTTGCATTGTCATTCTACATACCTATTTGCCCTTCAGATACAAGCCTTTGAGTTTATCTGACAGCCATCAGACCTGGCTCTTGCTAAGTACAGCCTGCAGGTGTATTCAGTGGTTCCTTTTGAATAAATCCAAACCCTAACATGCCTAGAAAAGCCCCTTCTGGATGCAGCCATGGCCCAGCCTATGGGTATCCTAGAACCTCAGTGAACTTCTTCCCTTTTTTCCCAAGAGTCAAGCTCTGACCTGCCTTCCGGCTTTTGCATATGCTGGTCATAACCTGAAGAACAGAAAACCCAAGGGCTTTGGCACATGAATACTGTGTGAAGGAAGCTTCTGACTTACAGTTTAGAGAAGCAAAGGGAATAACAAGAAATATTTTAACCAAGGGCTGACAAAATATTCAAATAAATTTATAAGAAAATAATGATAACACTTTCTTTACAGAAAGCTTTTGAACAGCCATATTGAGTTTCTGCTATCATTTAGATACGAATGTCCTCAAAATGTCTGTGTGTTAAAGGCTTGGTCATGGGCATTTTTGGGAGATAGTGGAACCTTTAGCAAGTAGAACCTACTAGAAGGAAGTTAGAGTATGGAGGGGATGCCCTTAGAGGGACGCTAGCCCATCCTTCCTCTCTCTCTCTCTCTCTTTCTGGGCCACCATGAGATACTCAGTCCCCTTTACTACATATCCCCACCATATTGTATTATGACACCACACACCCCACATAACAAAGTCAAGTGACCACTAGATCTGTGAGCCAAATAAATATTCCAGACTAATGAGCTGATTTATCTCTTGCATTTGTCACAGTACAAACAGCTGAAAATAGTTGTTTTCCTAATTTCTTGGCTATACTGAAAATTGAATTCGGAGCCTTAGCCATACCCCCAGCCCTATTTTCATAAATTCTATTCATTTCCTCGTTTAGGAAATGAATAATGAAATGAATAATAAGTTGTCCTACATAAACCTATAAGAAACCCAGAGATTTTGAGAGATATTCAGAAAATTTAACCTTCTCTAATTCTTTTCGCCTTCATTTGGATATTTTTCCCTAAGGTGCTTTCTGTTTGCCCATATATACAGAATCAAAGACAGGCACTGACAAGCACTGCCTTCATGGACCGCTGTTGCCGAGTAGCATTGCTAAGCTCGTCACCAGATACATGACAGAAGAAAGCAGAGATGGCTTCGTAAGACCGGGACAATGCTTCTTTCCCTGAAGAGAAAGCATAGCTACTTGAAAAACATGTCACTCCCAAGTGCTTCTGCTACATGGGGCACTGGCTGAAACTGCAAGCAAAGTAACTACAAAGAAATAAACCTGCCAGGCGCCGGTGGCTCTTGCCTGTCATCCTAGCTACTCAGGAGGCTGAGATCTGAGGATCACAGTTCAAAGCTAGCCCAGGCAGGAAAGACCATGAGACTCTTATCTCCAATAAACTACTAGAAAACCAGAAGTGGCGCTGTGGCTCAATCAGTAGAGCACTCGCCTTGAGCTGAAGAACACAGGGATAGCGCCCAAGCCCAGAGTTCAAGTCCCACGACCAACAAAAAAAAAAGGAAAGAAAAAAGAAAAGAAAAAGAAATAAACCTGCCATGTGCTGTGGCTCACACCTATAATCCTAGCTACTCAGGAGGCTGAGATCTAAGAATCACAATTCTAAACTAGCCCAAGCAGGGAAGGCTGTGAAACTCTTTCTTATCTATAATTAGCCACCTAAAAATTGGAAGTGGATGGGCTGGGAAGTTGGCTCAGTGGTAGAGTATTTGCCTCGCATGCATGAGGCCCTGGGTTCAATTCCTCAGCACCACATAAGCAGAAAAAGCCAGAAGTGGTGCTGTGGCTCAAGTGGTAGAGTGTTTGCCTTGAGCTGAAGAGCTGAGGGACAGCGCCCAGGCCCAGAGTTCAGCCCCCACGGCTGACAAAAAGAAAAAAATTAGAAGTGGAACTGTGGTAGAGTGGTAGAGTGCTAGCCTTGAGTAAAAAACAAAACAAAACAGGGCTGGGAAGGTGGCTCAGTGGTAGAGAGCTTGCCTTGCATGCCTGAGGCCCTGGGTTTGATTCCTCAGCACCACATAAGCAAAAAGAAAAAGCCAGAAGTGGCACTGTGGCTCAAGTGGTAGAGCGCTAGCCTTGAGCTGAAGAGCTCAGGGACAGTGCCCAGGCCCAGAGTTCAGGCTCTATGACCGGACCCAAAAACAAAACAAAACAGAACAAAAACTCAGGGACAGCTCCTAGAGGCCCTTAGTTCAAGCCCCATGACTTAAAAGAAATCAATAAACCTATACCTAAAATAAATAAACTTGCACTTATTGAATCAAGTGTCTTTTAAGGGAAATTAAGGTAAGTATTTCATCCAGTTCATTTTATACCTAAAATGGATTCAAGTCTGGAAGAATATTAGAAAGTAATGGTTTTTCTTAAACTCCTCAATTAGCAAGAGTCAAAAGAACAATACTATTAAGTATTAAACTAAACTAAATAGTATTAAGCAATACTATTTAGTATTGAAATTGGTTTGTAGATATTTTTCTTCTAATGAACACTGGTCTGGCTGAGAATATCAGAACCTGGGAGGCCAAATGGAGCACTCTTATCACAAAGTGAGCTGTCTCTTTTAATTCCTGACAATCTAACACCCCCCCCCCCAAAAAAAAAAGCCTTGGTTCTCAGTGGATTCCTTTTTTTCTCACCTCATCAGCATTTCCCTCTTCTGTGGGCCTTTAGCCCAAAATCTCATCTTTCCTTCTTGGTACATTTGCAGGTTAACTGCCAATTGTGTGCAGCCTGGATGGCCTCCAGTATTTTGGGATGGCTACCAGAGCCCTTTTCTCTTACACACAAATGGGAGATTTAATCACAACTTACCCTATACCCACTTATAATTCTTTTATGCTTCCGAATGCCTCAGAATGGACTCGAATTCCTTGGCAGGGTATTTGAGGTCCTTTGAGATGCATCTCTTCCTGTCTTTCCACCTCATTTCTCCCGCCTCACACACACCAGATCACCAGCTTTAGAAATTTGCTTTCAACACTTTCACATTTGTGTCTTTATAAAGGTTGTTCTTTCTTCACAGAAGGACCTTCTGTTCTTCCCTCACTCTTTCAACCTCACAGTTCTGCCTGCTAGATAAACTCATATATCTTTCATTTTGCTGGAATGCCATCTCTTTTGGGGAATTCAGAGAATTAGTGTCTCCCCAATTCTGTTCACATAGTCTGCTCTAAAGCCCCACTGTAACAAACCTGATAATACTTCCATCATTTGCTCTTGCTTGATTTCTAGGTGGGGAGTCCAGGAGGTGATTAGAACCCAGTTTAGCTTCAAGTTGGGCTAGTGAAGGTAAACATTATCACAAAGTTGCTACTGTTCCATATAATTGCCTTCAGACCAGGACACCAGCCCCTTCCGTGATTCTCATTTAAAATGCAAACCTACTATTGCTGCCCCGGGCCATTTAAGTCTTGATTTATTCTCAAGCAAGATTTTCAAATGCTGTTTTATAACATTTGAGAAATAAACAGAATTCCTAATATACCTTGCCCTCATATTTTCCTTCTAAAAACTCAGTTATGGTTACAGTCTCTGTGATCAAAATTGAACTTCACTCAATCATTTAAAGCTCTCTTTAATTTGGGTTCCACTAAATATTATTAAGTAATAAATTACTACTTAACATTTATTGAAAGCTTACTGTGTGCCAGGCACTGTTCAAAGAGCTTTTAACAGGGATTATCTTCTTAATAACCTTAGCTGATGTGCTTATGTAACTCATATGCCAGAAAGCTACGTTACTAATGAAGTTATTTAAGCTTTATAACAAACCTATAGACTGGTACGCCCATTTTTCAAATAAGGAAAACAAAGCAGAGGGTTGAGTAACAGGGTCAAAGTTCCATGGATTAGAAATAAGGTAGGCTGGACTAGATCCTAGAGAGAATCTGGAACACCACATAGCAGCTTGAGCATAGCAAAGCATCAGCATGTACTGTCTGCTCCATAGAGCTGCCTTCCTCTCCCAGGGAGTGGATGCTACCCTCTGCTCTGTTAGAGGGTTTCTCATCCTCCCCAGCCAACCTAAAACATCTCCTTGAAGACTTTCTAGAAAACGTTTACTACTTTAGAGCTTTCTCCTTCAGATCTACCCTCTATGGTATATATACCAAACATCATTGCCATCCAAATTCGGTTTCATTTTGGACTTTGTAATACAGTACTTTTAGTGGCTCTTGACTTTGGTAGACTTGGGCTCCAAACAAAATTATAAGCTCCCTGAAGAGACCAATCTGGTCCTTTCTACTGGAGTCCCCCAACGACCCAAGTCGTTGCTTTATATATTTTTACTATATAAGGTCACTTATGAAATCGAGTTCCCCCTTCCTTACGTTACAGATCGACTCAATTGTGCCCTGTAATTGCATCTTGAAAACTGAACCAGAACTCTGAACTAATTCTCAATGTGTCAAACTGTCTATGCTGTTTATCTAACGTAGTCCATTGAGAACAGAACACTAGAAATGAGATTCAATTCTCCTTAATTAAAACCACTGGAATAGACCTCATTCTACTACAGGTGAAAAATACAATTGGTTCTTCCATGTATCTGTCCTTAGTGGTCACCTAATTGAGTTCAAATTTAATGTGTGCTTATTATTAATGATGCAGATCTACTGCAACTTGAACAAATGGGAACCCTCTTACGGCATGGCTGAGTGCCTTTGGCAACGTTCCCATGCGTGGAAGTCCCATCACCGGACTTTTTGCAGTCACCTACTTGGCTGTGTCAGCTCCACTGGTTATTAAGGTGTTAATCAAAAGTTCATGGCCGTATCTTGCAGCCACATGGAGAGGTGTGTTGCCATCCTTATCCACACAGTCGATTTCACCACCTGAAAGAGATATTTGAATACAGGATAACGCAAGGGCCCAAGGCGATTCAGGTACGATGCTCTATGCCCATTGCTGATGTTGACGAAATGATGATTTCTTTTCTACTCCAATGTGCATTTCTGCTCTGAAGTGTAAGAATGTTTTTTGTTTTGTTTTTTTTTTGGGGGGGGGGGTCCGGTCGTGGGGCCTGAACTCTGGGCCTGGGCGCTGTCCCTCAGCTCTTCAGCTCAAGGCTAGGACTCTACCACTTGAGCCACAGCGCCACTTCTGGCTTTTTTCTTATGTGGTGCTGAGGAATCGAACCCAGGGCCTCGAGCATGTAAGAATGTTTTTAAGGGGGCATGTCACCTTCTGAAGCAGAAGTAGCATTACAGGGGCTGGGAAGGTGGCTCAGTGGTAGAGTGCTTGCTTTGCATCCATGAGGCCCTGGGTTCGATTCCTCAGCACCACATAAGCAAAAAGAAAAAAGCCAGAAGTGGCGCTGTGGCTCAAGTGGTAGAGCGCTAGCCTTGAGCTGAAGAACTGAGGGACAGCGCCCAGGCCCAGAGTTCAGGCCCCATGACTGGACCCCCCCCCAAAAAAAAGAGGTAGCATTATAGTTTATTATCTGCAGAGAGAGAAATGCTTTTGAAAAATCGTTCTATATCATCTTATTTGAGGATCTAAAATCACACAACATACATCCTGTTCTAAACGAACAATATAACCAAATTCCATAAATGTAACACTTACAACATTTAATTTTAATTTTAAAAAATAAATAGGGCTGAGAAGACGGCTCCGTGGTAGAGTGCTTGCCTTGCATGCATGAGGCCCTTGGTTTGATTCCTCAGCACCACATAAACAGAAAAAGCTGGAAGTGGTGCTGTGGCTCAAGTAGTAGAGCTCTAGCCTTGAACTGAAGAGCTGAGGGACAGCACCCAGTCCCCGAGTTCAGGTCCCAAGACCGACAAAAAAAAATAATAATTTTGTAAATCTCATGCTAAACTTTAACAATCAAAGGGGCTACAAGTTTAAGAAAATATTCCATGTAGCTTATCCAGCTTAAATATAGATGGGTCAACGAAAGCAAGATGTTGGTGGCTGATACTTGTAATCCTTGCTACTCAGGAGACAGATCTGACAATTGACATTGGAAGCCAGCCCGGGCAGATAAATCTGAGAGAATCTTATTTCCAAATAACTAGCAAAAAGCCAGAAGCGGAGCTATGGCTCAAATAATAGAGCACTAGTATTGAGCATAACAGCTCCAGGATAGTTTCTAGGCCCCAAGTTCAAACCCCAGGATCAGCACCAAAACAAAACAACAAAGCAAAAAAGAACATAGAGTTAGTGAGCATGAATCTGCTACAAAGTGAAATAATTACCAAAAGTTGTGTGGGCCTGTGGAGGGAGTAAGAGTGCAAAAAAAATCACAATCAGTGCACAGATTTAAGAAGCTTCACTCTGCTGCCAACCCTTCTACGTGTAGAGCTTATTGTGAAAATCAATCTGCTGCCAATAAGTTTACACATGTGGAGCTATTTACAAAATGGTAATCCCTTCTTGTCTTTGACCATGACAGAGAAACAGAAGCAGCAACTTGGATCCAAATACTGATTTCCCCTCAGATCATTGTTCCTATATTTATTTTTTAAATGAGTTGTTCAAAAAGAACAATAATAAAAAGTAATACTTGCATACCTATCCAGATATATACAAAATTAATAATTATATATCTAGACAGAAAGACACACAGAGAAATAGAGAGAATAGAAAAATTCAGAACTTTATGGGCTTGGAATATGGCTTAGTGGTAGAGTGCTTGCCTAGTATACAAGAAGCCCTGGTTTGATTCCTGAGTACCATATAAACAGAAAAAGCCAGAAGTGGCACTGTGGCTCAAGTGGTAGAGTGCTAGCCTTGAGCAAAAGAAGTTCAGGGACAGTGCCTACGCTCTGAGTTCAAACCCCAGGACTGGCAAAATTAATAATAATAATAATTTAAAAAAAGAAAAATCCAGAACTTTTATCAGACTGTCAATGAGAAATTCTGGGGCTAGGATTATGGTGACACATTACAGGACCATGGAAGGTCCATAATGATTTTATTTCCAGTAAGCATGTCCAAGTTTTACAATCAGAAAAATAATAAAGTTAGCTACTGTCATCTGCTAGAAACTAGGGAGACATTCACTGCACTCTAGTTTTAGATACATGCAATTTAGATCAACTTATTTTTGTGATTTTACAGTATTTTGGAGGACAGGTGGCTACGTATTCTCACAGATGTCTCAGAGAGATCCAGGATGGACATGTCTGTCTAAGGATTGCCACACTTTTCTGTCTGCAAGGGTTAGCCACAGAACTGATCTGGGGAGATGGGAAGGAGGATCCCTAGACTTCAGAGAAGGCTTTGCCCTGAACAGGATCCCAGCCAAGACTACCAAACCTTCCTGAAGAAATACAAGGGCTTTCAGGTTTACCTGCCTCAAAAGGCCAAAAAAGCGAGTAGAGGAAAAGAAGAGTAAAAATATCAGGAAAAAAATATGAGTAGATATTTTCTTATTTTTGTTGCTGCATTTCATAAGTCAACTCCAACCCATAGATAGATAGAGAAAATTATCATCTACCTATGCATTTATTGTCCTTTACAATATTTTTCAGGAAACTATCATTTAATGGAAAATAAAAGAAAGACAGTGTATGTGTTCTGAAAATGTTTTCTAGTAAACTAAGATTTCTACATGACTGAATTTCTATTTTATCGGCAATATAGAAACCTTTCACTTTCACCTGAAAATCTTCAAGACTTGCCTGAAATGTAAATTAAATGTCTGTATTATTCATCTGGAGGTTGCAAGTTAATGTCAGTAATTGGTCATTAATAATTAGTGAGCTACACAGCATTTGTAAGTTGAAAAGTATTCAAAGCATGTCCAAAGGGACAGTTAATCAACTTTACGCATTCATCCGACATTAGTTTTTTATTGCACAAAAGATAACGGTCATCTATCTTACTCAGTTGCTTCAGGATTGTGAGACCAAAAACATCCAAAGGTTCACATTTAGACTAACCTAGCATTGGACTTCTTTGGTACAAGATCTATTTATTTATAAAGCTTCCATAGCGTCATTTTTGAACTTTTCTAACTTGCTGAATAGCATCTAAGGCACCTGTCTCCTACCAAGGACGGGGTCAAATGTCTCCAGACAATGGACCAAATCTTCTTCCAGTTCCCTTTTCTCTCTTGCTGTGACAAGGCAGCTTCGGATAAACAAAATGATTTGAGCACAAGTACATTTTGATTACTAACTATAGAAAAAAACACATTTTTTACATTTTTTTAATTTTGTGTGCCAGTCCTGGGGTTGAACTCAGGGCTCTGTCCCTGACCTTTTGCTCATGGCTAGTGCTCAACCACTTGAGCCACAGCTTCACTTCTGGCTTTTTTGGTAGTTTAGTAGAGATAAGAGCCTCACAGACTTGTGAGGATTACAGATGTGAGCTATCCGTGCCTGGCAGTAATGTTTTTTAAATGACCTAAAGTTGGACGATTCTGGAAAAAACAGTTATTATGGAGAACAAATCACTCTAACTGAAGAGTTGTCTGGGATCAGAGATATGCTGTAAAAAGCAATTTAATGAGAGAACAAATAAACATAACAAGCATTCCTCAGCACCATGGTCAGTGGTTAGGGGAGCAGAGAGGTATTCCTTCATGGGGGTGCCCTCCAACTTGGGGAGGTCACAATGGCTCCTATGTGTGTGTTGTGACTCACAAGGAAAATGACACCAGGCCCTGGGGTATGAGCCTCTGGGAAGAAGGGTTTCGCCCCTCCCTCCCCCAGACTAACAGGTGGGGGAAGAAAAAATATGAATTTCCTCGTCTGTTCATGTGTATTTAAAAAATGTCCAATAATATCGAAGAACTCACAGTTCTCACATGTATAGTGAATGCAAACAATTATCATCAGGAAGAAGAAAATACCCAGAAGAGGGGAGAATACAGTCAAGAATCTCATGTATGTCCTACAAAATTAAGAAGAGTGAGAGAAGGGGTGAGTAGGAGAGGGAGGATAGAGAATATTGAAAGAGGAGACACTGATCAAGATATATTGTATTCATAAGCTGCTTTGATAAACGGCAACTCCTTTGTGAAACTAAGATAACACAAATAGAATAAAATTAAATAAAAACGAAGAAAATACCCAATTGTTCTTGTATAGGGATAATTCAATTTCAAATAGAAGTGTCTTTTCGAGAAGAGTTCAACTTAAAAACCAGTTGCCTGGCTGGAAAGGTGGCTTAGTGGTAGAGTACCTGCCTTGCATGCATGAAGCCCTGAGTTTGATTCCTCAGGACCACATAAGCAGAAAAAGCCAGAAGTGGTGCTGTGGCTCAAGTGGTAGAGTGCTAGTCTTGAGCAAGAAAGAAGCTCAGGGACAGTGCGTAGGCCCTGAGTTCAAGCCCCAAGACTGGCAATAAAATAATAATGATTAAAAAAAATCAGTTGTGGTGGGCGCTGGTGGCTCACACCTGTAATCCTACCTACTCAGGAGGCTGAGATCTGAGGATCACAGTTCAAAGCCAGCCCAGGCAGGAAAGGCTGTGAGACTCTTTTCTCCAATAAACCACTAAAAAACCAGAAGTGGTACTGTGGCTCAAGCGGTAGAGTGCTCGCCTTGAGCTGAAGAGGGCCCAAGGACAGCACCCAAGCCCAGAGTTCAAGCCCCACAACCAACCAAAACAACAACAAAAACAGTTGCCATCCTTGTTCTTCCAGAAAACATGTATATAAGTGTAGGAGTTCAATCCCTGATGTTAGACTATCTGTATTCCAGTCCGTTTCTCAACCTACTAGTCATGCATTCTGACACCAATGATGAACTTGCTGTCTTACTTTTCCCATTTTTGAAATGGAAATGATAATAATAATAACAATATAATACTCCTCTCTCACAGGGAAGTTGAGCCTGGCACAGAGGGAACACTCAGGCAATGCTAGCTTTTTGTTTTGTTTGGGGGGTCTGGTTGTGGGGCTTGAACTCTGGGCCTGGGCACTGTCCCTCAGCTCATCAGCTCAAGGCTAGCACTCTACCACTTGAGCCACAGTACCACTTCCAGCTTTTCTCTTTTTGCTTATGTGGTGCTGAGGAATCGAACCCAGGGCCTCATACATGCAAGGCAAGTGCTCTACCACTGAGCCACCTTCCCAGCCCCAATGCTAGCTTTAACATTACCCATACTAGTCTATGTATTGTAGCCGCTATATCCCCATCTGTGTAGGCCTGGGATTCTACCCAGCATACAAGCAAGATGCCAAACCAGACAAAAATGAGATAATCTCAGAACCAAAGATCCTTTGAACCCAGAGAATATGAGAAGGGACCTATTCTGGGTTTAGCCCCAACCCTCAAGTCCAGCAAGACTGTCCAAGTCTTACAGCCCAATAATGATTCATAGGGAAGTCAAAACACCCAGAAACTTCCCAGGTCTACCGTAAGCCTACACACATGGCAGAGCAGAGCTGGGACATGGTCTTGACCCAAGGGCAAGGCTTTGATCATATGGGGATTGGCCAGTAGAAAGTAATATTTATAAGGTGAGAAATTATTTTTCTCTCCCACTTTGCCCCTCCTGCTTGAGATTTTTTAATAAGGAATAATAGTTTTATATCCATTTATTATTTAACTAAGGCTACTGATTACATTCACATGAAATTTCTTTAAATTTTTATTTTGCTTTTGAAGAGACAGATATTGTTTCTGAAAAACAGTTGAGAAATGCAATGGAAAAAGAAAAGTAAGAGGGAAATCAAAAGAGAAAGTCTGCAGTTGCATTTCCCCTTGGCAAAATAAACCAAAAGTGATCCTCTCAGTAAAATGAACGTCAAAGACATGACCCAGATTCCAAATTAGAAATAATAGGTATTGGGCAGTTCATTTCCATTTTACTTTCCTTAGCTTGCTGGAGCCTTTTTTTCTCCTACAAATTCACTGAAATGCTTATATATTTCCTCTACTTTTCCATAGATATTTTGCTTTCTAAGCATAATTTCAGTGGCAGATTTCCCATCCAGATGCCAAATGACTTTTCAGTTTTATGTCTTGAGCTCTTAAGACATAACTCAGCATTGATAACAACCCCAAGTATATGTCACCCAAAATTCTTATAAAGAAGGAAAAAAATACAGCTCCAAGAATAGTGACTAGTATCAGAAATGAGGGTTAACTAAAACCAGCTTGGGAACAGCCAGAATGACCTGGAATATGAGCTGAAGATCCGAACTAGACATGGTATTTGTTGTTGTTGCTATTGTTGCTGTTAAAATATCTGTTATTTTCTATTCAAGATACATTAGACCCATACATTTATATGTTGAATCAATAATTAAAAAGTCAAATTAAAAATTGAGAAATATTTACAAAGATATTCAATTGTGTTCTCAAAGTCAACCCAGCACAGATGCTGGCTAAAATCCTCCATCAGAGACAGCCCATGAAAGTCCAAGCAACCCTCTGTTGTAAGCCTGGAAAATTACTGTGCTATGTGACTCTTGGGTCTCTGGTGAGCCTGTGATTTTATTATTCTTTCTATCATATCCTTACCTGCCTTTCCTCTGAGTAATCTCCTTTTCCTACCTTTGGTCTTTTCCTGCCATTACTGGTCTTAGGGAACTATGGTGAATTCTAGAATCTAAGAATAATCTCAATTTGCTATTAGGAAATATATGCTGCTTATCTTTATTAGGTTTTGGAGCTAAAAGGTAAGATAGAAAGATGGTATATCATTTCAGTTTCAAAACAGCTCCCGTGTTCTCTGCCTGGCTGGGAACTGGCTGTGAACCAGTGCCTTTCTGCTCTCCCTTCACTACTGAGAAGAATGCTGGAATATGTCTGATAATGAGCTTCCAGCCAAAGGTGTCAAAGGACTGTGTCGACCCATGCTTATCAAAAAAAACTAAACCAGAGAGCATCAAGGTTCATATTCAGGTGACTGGAGATGACCCCAGTCAGACCAAAAAACTGCAAATAACCACACTACAGAAGCATCTCTTACCATTCTGAATGAGGGTTTGTGACCGTGTGAACCTTCCATGGACAGCTGTCATGTGCAGTGGACTTTTGCCATCTTTACTCTGAAAATAAGGATAGAGTTGCTCATGAGATGGTAATATCAATCTGTAATATCACATATGTATGGATATAATCAACAGTTACAAAGATAATTTGGAGATAAAGGTAAAATGTGTAACTTCTCAAGTTATTTTATATAACACTATTTTCAAGAAGCTTAGAGAGCAAACTCCCCCCACCAAAAAAAAAGTTATTTCCTGTCTTAAAATGTACTGGCAACTTTTAAAAAGACAAGTGATATGTAATTTATATAGTCCTGTCTGCCTGGCCATTGTCCACTAACCTGCTATTACTCCTGGCAGCTCTTGAAACTGACCTGAAACGTTACACTATTCCCTAGGTCCCAGCTCCATAGAGAATACCCTAAAAGAGAATCTCTTCCTTCACCTAATTTTCTAGAAATCATAGGATTAAGGTGTGAAACTGCTCAGAAAATTGCCATTTTTGATAATCAGCTAGAAATGTGTATTCAATTTATACATCTTTTATTATTCATGATACAAATTAAGGAACTTCTCAACAGGGATTAAGCCAAAACATGGAAAATGTACAAAACCTATCATTAGAAGACCAAATGAGAATTTTAGCTGGGTGTCATTAGCTTACACATGTAAACCTAGCCCAGGAGGTTGAGATCTGAAGGTCACAATTCAAAAGCCAGCCCAGGCAGGAAGGCCATGAAACTCTTATTATCTCCAATTAACTAGCATAAAGTCAGAAGTGGAGCTGTGGTTCAAGCGACAGAGCACTAGCCTTGTGGGGAAAAGCTAAGGGTCAGCACCCAGGCCCTGGAGTTCAAGCCCAGCACTGGAATAAAAGAAGAAATAGGTGGAGAAGAGGAAAGGAAGAAGGGAGGGAGGGAGAAAGGAGGATAGGAAGGAAGGTGAGAGAAAGCAGAGAAAGAGAGAAAGAGGGGGGGGAAGGAGGGAGGGAGGAAGGGAGGGAAGGAGGGAGGAAGGGAGAGAATTGAAGTTTGATCTTTCCCTGGGGTAGCAATAAGCAATATGTGATGTGAAACACTCCAGAGGTATGGAAGAGCAGCAGCAGCTGGCTTGCACCATGGATGAACAGCTGATGCTCTACCTGAGGCATGCTGTTTGGTAGGTTAGGTGCGGTAAATGTATTTCAGTCCCATCAGGATGGATGTACTGAGATGGAGGACCGAATCTCACCATAAGTCAAGAAGCATCCTTTTTAAACTCTTTACACATAATTCTAACAAAGGAGTTTCCATTTTAAAAAGTAGCTTATGAATACAATGTCTTTCCTCATTCTTACTCATCCTCCCCTACGGACCTGTCTCTCACTCCTCTTTAATGTTGTAGGATATACATTGGATTCATGACTGTGTTCTCCTACTCTTGTTCGTTCATCTATCCCTTTCCTCTGGAGCCCACCCCACCCCTTTCAAGTACCCACTTTCTTTGGCTGAACTTTGATGTTGCCTTTCTAAGGAATTATACTATTTGAACTCTCCCTTGAATCTACCCTATTCAGCTAATACATTTATATACACTTGCATTCCACCGAACGTATTCACTTAGGAATTTGTACACTAAATCTAGCTGCCATATATAAAGGAAAACATGAATCCTTATTTTCATTCAAGTGCTTTTATTTATTTATTTACTTTTTTGGTGCTTGTCCTGGGGTACGAACTCAAGGCCTGGGTGCTGTTCCTGAGCTGCTGTGCTTTGAGGCACAGCTCCTCCATTTCCTAATAATTGGAGATAATAGTCTTACTTTCCTGCCCAGGCTGGCTTCAAACCCAATCCTCAGATTTCAGCCTCCTGAGTACCTATGATTATAGGTATAAGCTATCAACACCCAGTTATCAAGTATACTTTTTAAATGCAATCCACCTTTATTTTTTCTAAACTGGAAATGTTTAGACTTAAAGAAATGTTCCTCTGATATTAAAATATGAAGTTTCAAAAGTCTATGTTAAATTTTTGTGATTTAATCTACATATCTAAGTTTTAAAATGACTACTGTAAGCCTGGCACTGGTGGCTAACCCCAGTAATCCTAAGTACTCAGGAGGCTGAGATCTAAGGATCATGGTTCAATGTCAGCCCTGGCAGGAAAGTCTGTGTGACTCTTATCTCTAATTAACTACCAAAAAGCCAAAAGTGGAGCTGTGGCTCAAGTGGTAGAATACTAGCATTGAGCAACAAAAGCTCAGGAATAGCACCCAGACCCTGAGTTCAAGCCCCAGAACTGGCACACAAAAGAAAATGACTATTGTAAAAAAAATAATCCACACTGGAAAACAATCACTGAAGTAAATATCTTTTAGTAGACCAAAGTCTATCCATTCCAAGAGTTCTTGTTCAAAAAATGGAGACTGAAGAAGTGGTGCTGTAGCTCAAGTGTAGAGTGCTCGCCTTGAGCTGAAGAGCTGAGGGACAGCGCTCAGGCCCAGAGTTCAAGACCCCCATGACCGACCCCCCCCCCCCAAAATGGAGACTGAATTGGAAGTTGGACAAAAAAAAATTTCCTTTCTAACTTGCACACTACATTCAAGTTTAAAAGCCACTATTTTAGACTGTAGACTAAATAGCTTATAGTAAAACCACACATTATATCCTGTAAATCTGTCTCTTCCTTAGGAAAGAGGAAAGTAGTTACACTAAGTCTGTGCCAATAGAAGGTAATCAGAAAGTACTACATCTCGACCAAAAAAAAATGTAACATTATAGTTTAAGTATATAAGGGGCATAATAGGAGCTATTTAATATGGTTAAGGACTTGAATCTGAAATTATTGAGAAAGGAGAATGACAGTAACCTTGATGCTTTATTGAAGATATCGTTTTTTAGAAGAAAAGGAGAAGTAATTAAGAGGTCCCTTAAAGCTATCGAACTCCAGAGTCTGGTCCTGGATGTTAGGACTAGACACAGTTCAAATGACTGAAAAGCCAGTTTTAAATAAAAATAGATTTCTTTAAAAAAAATATTTTTTTTTAATTAAAACAAATAATGACAAACCAAAATTGTAAGGGAAGAAAAGGCAAAAATTTCAGAGTTGATATTAACTGTCTCTAGGTGGTGCTATTTCTTTAAATTTTGTTCCAGTATTTTCTCTTCAATTTAATATGAAAGTACAAGTAATTATCATTTGATTAAATATATATAAGGTGTTTAGAAATATATTCATATTTAATTAAGCACTTTCCTGCGCCTGGAAAAGGTTATAAAAGTTTTTCCTAAGGATTATCAACTATCTAAATTGCAAAAGGAGAGCCAAGGCAGAACTAACTGACTTCCACAGAGCACAGCTTGCAAAGCCAGTCCCATTTCAGGACAGCAAACACCACACCTCGCTTCTCCCTGGGAGTGTTTGGGCCTCTGGGTAAAGGGAAAGAAATGACCACAGTTAGTAAGATGTAAAAGTCAGCTATAGTGTCAATGTGATACTTCAGATCTATCCTTCCAAATCTTTCCTGGATTCATCTACTAAATGAGTCGAGGCTGTAAATTGTTGTTGTCTCTGTCTTACCCAGCACAACTACGAGCAGTGTGCTTTCTTGAACTTCAAATGCTTGCAAAAAATAGGGTTGATAAGCATATCTGAATCTGCAGTGTTGTCTGTCATGGGGAAGATAAAGGATATGTTCTTCCTATTTTCAAAGTATAAATGAATTCCAATGAATTGTGAGGTTTTGTGGGTTTTGCGGGGGCGGGGAGGGGGGTTGTTTTGTTTTGTCAGTACTGGAGCTTAAACTCAGGGTAGGCACTGTCCCTTAGCCTTTTCACTCAAGTCTGGTACTCTAACCACTCCAGCCACAGCTCCACTTCTGGCTTTTTGGTACTTATTTGCAGATAAGAGTCTCAAGGTCATTTCTGCCTGGGTTAGCTTCAAACCATCATCCTTAGATCTCAGACTTCTGAGGAGCTAGGATTATAGGCATGAGCTATTGGTGCCAACTTCAATGGATTGTTTCATAAAGTATCTTTGTTATTGTATCCGAAATTAACAATACCAAGTCAAAATATAGCCATGGTCAATCTAAGTTGAAAGAAAGAAAGAAAGAAAGAAAGAAAGAAAGGAAGAAAGAAAGAAAGAAAGAAAGAAAGAAAGAAGGAAAGAAAGAAGGAAAGAAAGACTGTAAAATGCACTCAGAACACTTCTCCCTCCTCCTCTTTCCATCTATCTTGTAATTGCTCCTGAAGACATCCTTCCAGCTTATTATGGGAAGAGAGGCAATGTGGGTGGGTACTGGCTGCATTTCAAGATGCTATTTCCTTAAAACTTTGGAAAAATCTAAACAAATACAAATTGTCTTGCCTCTGCAAACATTTTCAAAACCCAGTGAGCAATGTGGTACAGAGAGATAACAAGTTTAATTAGAAAGCTACCTCCTGAGTCACACAGGACGGCTCCACAGGAATGAAGGAAATCAGAGCATGTAGAGAAGATGGAGATAGAGGATGAAAGTGAGTTTTGATTCAGAACACAAGTCTCTGGTTTTAAAAGGGCATCTCTTAGATGCTATTTATAATTAATGGTCTATAGTAATATTAAATAATATTAAATACTAAAAATAAGTAAATATGCTTTCAGGTCTATTTATACAGTTGAAGTTTCTTATCCAATCTAATTGGCCACTGGTCAGTGAAAGGGGCAGAGGTAAGTAGGTATGGCCTTCTAGATTCAGACAACACTATCAGTTACCGAAAAAGAGGCTGACAAAGACAGCCCCTTTAGCCTCAGGAATTTGCCTTCCTTTGACAGTGTCAGAGGATGTCCTATGCATGCAGACAGATGTCCACAATCCTGGAGATGGCCACCTGGGTGCTTCCTGACCTCCTGCCACCATGCTCTTCTTTTTGGGACCTTGGCTGGGATTCCTTTAGAAGATGAGGAAATCCCTGAAACTCATCCACTCTACACTTGTGTTTCTGGCTGCCTTGTCCCTTATGAAGATACCACACTCTCTTCAGTTCCTTCTTCTCATTTTTCCTACCCCTTTCTCTCACTCTTCTTCCTCTTCTTGATCCTGAAAGCATAGGGTCCCCCTCCCCTTTCCTCCCACCTATTATGCCCTCTCTTCTTGGGTGACAGCATAACTTCCAATTTCAACTGATACCCTTACGGGAATGCAACAACCTCAAATTTTTACTTCTATTCTCAAATGCTCTTCTATACTAGAAGATATTTTCGTTACTAGGTCCTCAGACTGACTAATGGCTCAAAACTTGTTCCTCAAACTCTACATTCATTGGTTTCGCCTCCTAAGCCTATCCTCTCTTGACACCGCTCTTAGAGATGATTACCAATTGTACTCATTTGCCAAGTGCTTACTCTGTGGCAGACACTGCTGTGTAACTGTTTAATCCTCCCAACACTGTTTTCTAATTTTATAGATGAAAAAATGAGACATATCCCCAAAATATGAGACACACAAAGATGTTCTTATCATTAAGATTTTGAATTAGGTATTCAAAATCTAAGCGAGGATTGGAATACAAGCAGCCAAAACCCCAGAAGTGATCACTTAACCTTTAGTTAACTTCAGTATATCACTTCTCTATTCACCTATAACTCCCCTATCCTGCAGCTAGTTGTGCCAAGGCCTACTTGTTGTCTGCAAAGCCTCTCCCACCCATGGGCTCTTCTCCATTCCTCCAGCCTCATGACCTCTGAGTTAGACCAGTTTTATTGATGTTCCCTCATCCCGAAGTCATCCCCTCTGTATACCCACTACACTTGGATTTTTCTCATCTCTAAAATCAAAGTAGCTTGTTACGTTCTTCTAACTGGAAATAGTACATGCTCATCATGTTGCAAACAGAAGATAAAAATAGAGACTAAAATCAGAAATCATGACATCCTCTCTCCACAGTGGTAAGTGATATTTATACATTGATATGTTGTCCAGGTATTTGCCCCTCTGTGCACATACTCAGACATATAATTTTTTTAATATTAAAAAATGGAATCATATTTATTGATTATATTTTCTGTAATCATACTGGGTTTTACTCTTTTTATACTTTCCAGAACTAAAAATAAAAATATATTTTGGTATTAGTGTATATTTTTCAAATTATTAGTGATGCTGGATATTTTTATGGATTTCTAGTCTCTCTGTTATGATACGCTTTTTTCTAAATTTTGTAGTAAATTACCAGACTTTTTCTTGATTTGTATGAGCTCCTTATATTTTAAGTGTGTTTAATTTTTTCCTATATATTGCAGAGAAATTTCCCTGGGATTGTCCTCTCAATTTTGTTTAAGTTCAGAGCTCTATGGACATTTTTTCTATCTTGTTTTCTTTACCATAAAAAGTTTTAAAATTTTATGTAATAACATATGCCTTTTTTTCTTTGTGTTTCCTGCCTTTGGCATTCTATTATCTGATTACTGTTTATGATGCTCTGGTTTGACAATATGACTCTCCAATGATGAGTGACCCCACTGACTATGAAAGCCCAAACTCTTCCACTAAAGTAAGTCATCTTCCTTGTTTGTGCCACATTTCAGCTTATTTCTGGCTTATTTCCTTTTATCCATTTTGTACTCTACTTAATCACTATAAATTGTTATTCTAGAAAGTATGATTTAACATGTAAAAAGGGGGGTCTGGGAATGTGTTTTAGTGGTAGAGTGCTTACCCAGCACGCATGAAACCTTGAGTTCCATTCAATACCACATAAACAGAAAAAGCCGGAAATGGCACTGTGGCTCAAGTGGTAGAGTGCTAGCCTTGAGTAAAAGAAGCTCAGAAACAGTGCCCAGACCCTGAGTTCAAGCCCCAGGACTGGCAAAAAAAAAAAAAGTAAAAAAAAAATAAAAGAACATTAGATACAGAAGGTCGTTTTAAAAGATTGGTGTGATAGTCTTAAAATTCAACCTTATAAATCATCCAAATCAGAAACAGATTGCTCAAGACTTTTGCTGTAGCGTCTCTGTGTAGTTAGGGAAATGGAAGCTAACGCAGAAGCTGAGTTCAAGGTCTCCTGGTGCAAGCTGCAATGGATATTCAACCATGCGACATTCAAAAGGAACCCAGATGATAATGATGTTGCATGTGTGGATCTCCTTAGTCAAGGAAAGCGAACTACTTACCTACTCACCTAAGGTAATGTTCACCCACAGCTTATCCTATCCACAGCTCCTACCTCCTTTGCTTATGCCATTCTCTATCTGAACACCTTCTCTCAAATTATCTCTATGCCTCCTCTTCGCAACTGATAATCTTTTCAGCTCAAACCCAACCTTCCTTTTCTGATTTCCAGACAAGAAGCCAGCCAACACTTGCTTCTACTTTGCAACACATCATTACTTTTGGGGGGGGGGGGGATACTCATCACGTTCTCTGCTGCCCCATGATTATCTGAGCATACATTATCCCCTTACCACACTGCACCTTCCCTGAGGACCAAGACATACCTCATCTTGGTGTATTTCTCCATATCAAGAGAGGGCTCTGTGCAGTCCTTAGTAAATGTGGTGGAGAAAAGAATGATCTTCAGGATGAAATCAATATACATCATTGAAGCTGCTATCTGCAGCTCACTTCAGGAAAGTATTTGGGGGCAATGCCAGAGTGGGGAACAGGTCTGTACTCATCAGACCTCCCTTCAAATTCTCTGCAGTTCTTCCCAGGCAGCTCAACACAGACTATTTGAATCTGGGCTGAGCCTATATCCTTGAGACACAGTGTTTGTCTTGGAGCGTTCACTAAGCTACCAAGGATACATGGCTGGAAACTCAGTGCTTTCCAGATGGTACCATCACAGCTGGAGAAGCATCCTGATCCAGGACAAGATGCGTTTAACAACTCATTAAAACATGACATAATTTATAGTGATTAGTTTGTTCAAACTGAGGCTGGTTTGAAGCTATCTGACACAGGGAGAGTAAGTGTCATACCTGAATGTTAACATCTGCCCCGTTGTTTACTAACAATTCCAGACACAGAGCACCGTGAGTAGAGGCAGCAGCAAAATGCAAAGGGGTGAAGCCGTTGTTGTTGGGCTGGTTCACATTAGCACCGTAGTCGATTAGCTCATTAACCACAGCATCCTGTCCATTGTAGCAGGCAATGTGAAGTGCTGTATTTCCATAGACATTGATTTCATCAATCTGCAAATGAGTCCAATGTAAGGCAATTAAATTCACTGGCACTACTTTATTCCACTTTCCACACACACACACACACACACACAAAAGAAAAACAACTAAAAAAACCCTAATGGCTTTGGTGAGAGCACAGACATATCCATCCATCAGCACAATTACTCCAAGCTTAAGCTCACCCCAGCAGGATACGCTGAAAGCTCTTGTCTCCCTGAGGTAAAGAGTGGCCAAACTGAATGCAACAAAAAGTGATCTAAGAAGAGCCATAATCCTTTTGTGAGAGCTATTCTCTTCTCTGGCTAGAAAAAAAGGATAAAGGGTAAAAGGCTAGCTCTGGTTTTCAGAAGAGATGAGGATAAGGGAAGCAGGAAGAGAGTTCCAAACTCAAGAACTGGGCACTGCAAACATAAAAAGAAAAGGGTAGGGGTAGCGGGACTGATGGCTGTGGATCCTGTACATAGTCAGCCTCACAACCCGCTCTGCATTTGCTGTGGAGTTGGATACCGCACCAGGCCATATTCTAGTGGCTTTGCCTGATTTGGGTTTAGTCCATGGTGCCCAATTATTGTCCATGATCGGTGCCAGGTATCACTATCCTAGTCTCAGTATGGTCACTTGGTTTTTCCTCCCTCCAGAGAAAGAACATTCCAGAGCTCACCATTGCCCCTGCCATGCTAGATGAAGAAGCACAGAACAGGTCAATTCCTCGAGCTCAACATCAGAGGTGTCAGCTGTGTGTCTCTGGCTAGCCATTCATTCATTCATTCATTCATTCATCCTGCCTGTAAGCCACCATTTGCAAAACTAGATTCTGAAGGTGGGATGAGGAATCCTAGCTAGTCTTAAAAAAAAAATGACAGATTAGTATATATGATGTAGACTATGTGTTGATGTATTTATCTACGTAGACACAGAAGGTCTGTTTTTGATTTCCTTACTCTATGGCCCTTTATGACCACATAAACTCCAAAGGAGTTTATTCTCCAAGGGAATAACATTGCAGAAGAATGAAGTTTCAGAAAAACAGAGACCTACAAACCTAAAGGCTACCCAGGGATATGTTAACAGTGGCTCACCTCTACCCCCAGATTCAGGAGATGTTTAACAATATTGAGCTGTCCATTAGAGGCCGCAGCATGCAGGGGGGTATAACCCTTCTTATCCTTACAGGTAACTTCTGCACCATGGTTAATGAGCAATGCTACAACATCCAGGTGGCCTTGACAAACAAAGCAGCAGAAAATACCATTAACCTTCACAGAACATTTGGCAATTCATTGCACCCAAAATATCATTATTAGCTTTTATCACTTTCTCCCTCTCTCTCTTTTTCCCTCCCCCTCTCCCCCGCCTCTCTCAACATCCACTGGCTCCCATCCTCAGGACACCATGAGGTATCTCATGCACTTAGGCCAATTTGACTGTCTATATTATTTTTTTTGATACTGGTATTTGCAAAGTTTAAGCTTCTTAAAGGGGGTAGGGGTGTGTACTAGGGTTTGAACTTTGGACCTAAATGTTTTTGTCTCTATAATTTGTTTTTTTTTTTGCTCAAGCTTAGCACTCTACCACTTGAGCCACAACTCCACTCCTAACTTTTTTTTTGGGGGGGGGGCGGTTAACTGGAGATAAGAGTCTTACAGACTTTTCTGCCTGAGTTGGCCTTGAACCATGATCCTCAGATTGCAGCCTCCTAAGTAGCAGGATTACAGGCACAAACCACCAGCATGCAGATTCTCAAGCTTTTTTAAGTCCACTGACTCATTCAATCCTATCCATGATCACATAATTTACTTCAACTTTGCCCCCCCCACACACACGCTTTCAACCCTCCCACTGGTACATGTAATGATAATGTTCAAAATGATGGTAAAAGGCATGCAGGCTCATTGAAGTCATGAAGGCAAAAATTTGTTAAATGGACACCAAAAATCACCCATAATCACCATCCCTACAGATAAGCAATTAATGTTGAAGTATACAATATTTTTTCATACTTGTTTCTATTGCACAAATTTTTAATAAAAATTAATATCGTATTATTTATACAGTTCTATAGTCCATTTTTCTTTGGCATATCCTAGAGGTTTTCTATGCTAATAAACACCCATGGACCCTAGAATCCACCAAAATATTGTCCCATGGATGGGCATTCACGCTGTTTACAATTTGGTACTTTAGCATTTATCTTCCTTTCTACTTGCAGGATGTCCCTCAGTTAGAAACACAATGGAAGGATCTTAGTCCTCATTTCCCATAAGTCTACACTGAGAATAAACTTTGTGAGGTCTACCATTTGTCAGAGGTCTTTTACCAACAAACGTGAAAAGGAAAAAACAGCTATGTAATGTCTTCCTTCTCCTCCCCTGGCGGAGTAGCACAGAGCAGTGCAGAATGGAGTGGAGCCCTCAGAAGTGACACTGCCTGGCCCCTCGCTGAAGATCTCTACTGACTCCAATCACAGCCACCTAGGAAACAGCCAGGGGGAGGGAGAGGCTCCTCTTTTCCTTCCTTTCTGTTTCTTTCAAAAACACTTATACATAAGAAGACAAATGGCCCTGGTGTCCTGGCTTTGCTAGCCTGTCTTCTTGCTTTTCTAAGCACCTTATTTTGCTGCCATAACAAGTTAAAATAAGCACAGTGCGTGCAACTTTCCAATCTAGACTGAAGCACACTCAGAGAGATCCCGGCTGTGACTCATCCTCCTCGTCCTCCTCCTCTTTATGGGATAAATAAGTCTCTGGACAAATCTCTACCCAACTACAGCCTCCTATGTGTGCCAGTAAAATAGGCTGAATCCTCACTCAACTGGAACCCAAGCCTGAAGTCAGACTTGGCCTGAAAGAAAACTTAAGAGAATTTCAGTCTTTTTTATTTAATTATCCTCTTGTGTGAGGGAGAATGATCTACATGGAATCCTTACCCATATATGCTGCCCAATGGAGGGCGCGGCGGTCCTTCTTGTCGAATGCATTGATGTTTGCTCCTTTGGCCAAGAGTAAATTAACCATCTGAAAGATAATCAACAATGAAATCAAGCATTCGACTCTGTGATGGTGACGGCTCCTCACTGCCTCCAAGTGATCTGAGCCAAATTCACGTCAAGCTTAAAAGTGGATCCGAGGTCTGGAGTTTTAAACAACAGTAAGAAGGTGCTGTCGCCACAGATCCCATGGCATCTGTCACACAAAAACATTGAAATGGCAACCTACTTTTTCAACTCATTTATCCATTCATTCAATGCACATAATCATCCAAGTGACAATTAGGATTATGCCCACATTATATCATATGTGACAATCTGTGTCTAAATATTATCTGTACATTTTCTAAAAGTCTCGGCAATAAGATCAGAGCCCACTTGTGGCTATGAGGGTCTGCCTGAAGCACCCCAGTTTCCACTAATGGGAACACTCACCTCGATATGGCCATTGAGAGCGGCGTGGTGCAAGGCTGTGCGCCCCCCTCGGTCGGAGACATTGACGCTGCTGAGCAGTGGGATGATCACTTCTGCACATTTGACAGCCTTATTGGCAGCTGCCACGTGGAGGGGCGTCTGCCAGTTCTTGTCTCTCGCGTTGACATCTGCTGAGTGCTTAATCAATACTTGTACTGCCTCCTACAACAAAAGCAGAGTTTGTAGGGGCGTCACGGACACATGATCAGAAAATACTGATGCTTCCCTAGAACAAGTCCTGTTCTCCCCGACTTGATGGAGACAAGCAAGTTAAGACATGACAGACCTCAAAAGAATGGCTCGGAGTAAGTCATACTTATTTCACCTTGCTTTGTCAAGCCGAGAACCCTGGCAAATAAACCTTCCTAAGGATAACAGATTCTTCGGCCAAATGAGAGCACTCATGTGCACATATCCAGGTAAAAGATCTCTGGGAATTAAAAAAAAAAAAGCCCACCATAGATCATTTAAATTTATAAACATGCCTGCCAGACATTTTTCTTGGATCAATGTGCTGATCTTTGATTCTCTCTGACAGCATGCAACAGTCTTCTGTGATCAGTAAGCAGTCAAGGGATATCATGTATCTGTCTCACACTGAAACTATGAAATGGCCATCTTTTCCCAACATTTTCCATTAGAATGAGTAACCGACCACTGTTGAGTTCCTTTCCCTGTATTGAACCTCTTGTTTTTTATTTTCTCTGTACTGACCCTGCTCACCAGCCTCACTACTTATAGCTGTCAACCCTAGCTGTTTAAGGAATCGCCTGGGGGCCTCTTCACAATCCAAAGGCCTGGACCCTCTGAGAGATTTTTGGATTTGGGCATTTCTGTAAACCTCCTTTTCATACAGCCAAGTGGATATATGGCTCCTTTCAGCTATGGGTTGCCTGTCTCTACTTCTAGAGACTTCCTGGGACTAATTAGTGGGGTCCTTTAGAAGCATCTTTCCAATGTGGGATCAATAAATCAGTACTTCATGGACTAAGGAGTTGACCTGGCCACATCACAGCACTGACTGTCCAATCACCTTTATCATACAAATATGTCCTAGATAGTAGACGATTAGAACCCAGAAAAATTATTATTTCTATCAGAGACACAAATGATGAAATAAAAGGAATATCTCATGAATCAGAATCATAGAATAATTACTTTGAGCACAAGGAAATCATACAGTTTAAATGAACAGTGTGATAATTGAAGGTTACTACATTTATATGAGGTAAATGAAAGATATTAAACTGGTAGAAACCAAGGAAGTACTCAAGTCACCAGCAGAAAAATATATTCCTTGAGCCCATTTTAGACAGAAATGTATCCAGGCACTACTAATGCTCACCTGTGTGTACAACACACTGCTAAAACTATGGAAAATTGAGAGAAACACTAGCTGAGCTCCTAGCCTAAAAACTATTGGATTGAACAAAAACAAGCAAAAGAAGAGCTGAGTCATAATATGAGCTATAAGTCATGATAGGAAAAAGTCATGGTTACAAAAAGAAAAAAATATCAACTCTGATGTTATACATTATGAATATGCATTATGAAGTTTGTTTAGATAATTGTAATGTAGGAAAAGAATACTGGCACCTCAATGTGTATTTCTTTTCTTTAAAAAGGAAAGCATTTCAGCTAGCATTTCCCTTCCAGGTCAACACTGTACCTGCATTTACACAGAGCATTCTCCCTTGCCTACAGTCTGACAAAAGATGCCTTCAGTTAAGAGCAAAATCTCCATGATACTGAGAGAGTCAGACTTGGCCTCTCCATTCATTAACTTTGAGGGTACCAAAAATCTACTTACAGGTTCTAATGTGTACCTTTTATACTCAGGTACCAGTGTCTCATGCCTATAATCCTAGCCATTCAGAAGGCTGAGATTTGAAGATCACAATTCAAAGCCAGCCTGGGCAGGAAAGTCTATGAGACGCTTATTGCCAAAATGCCAGAAGTGGAGCTGTGACTCAAGTGGTAGAGCAGTAGCCTTGAGCAAAGATCAGGGACAGTGCCCAGACTCTGAGTTCAAGTCCCAAGTTAGCACAAAAAGGAAAAAAAAAAGTGTACCTATAAGTGAAAAGAATGCTAGAATAGACAAAAGCCATGCAAGAATTTGCCCAAAGATTAGCAATAACACTAATAGAATGTAAGCGTCGCAATGGAAAAATCACAGAGGTGGGGCTTCTTACTAATCTTACTGTGTGCTTCTATTACTGATGTAACAAAGTAAAAGTAATGACACACGGTAAGTCTTCAATAAACATGGTGACATAAATACGTTGCTGTTGTGGTCAGCAAAGTCTGTAACAATCCACAAGTATGAACAGATTACTGGGGCATGCGCTGACTCCCGAGGCTATACTCAGTCATCATTTGGGGCCTTTCTCTCATAGTGACTATAACAATTTCATGTGCTATAAGAATTATATAAATTGGTGCTCAATTTGTTCAGTTAAAGGGATTATTCCTTCAACAGTCCCCAAGATCAAACTAAACTCACCCTGTATCATCATTATGTATGTTAAATATAATATTAATATAATATATATTATGTGTAACTATTATTAAAGTACAATTGCTCTAACAACTAGTGGTAGAAAGGTAGCTCACTAGAAACTTGAGGATATAAGAAAATTCTAAAGGAATTGTACATGAAGAGCTGACTTTAAATATCAGGAAAGGCAGACACAAGAAGGTATTTCCAATTTTCAGTCTCAGGTCTCATAATATAGTTTATCAACCACATGAATCAAAATCACTCCTTCTTTTCTTCCTGCCATTCTTCCTTCCTCCCTTCCTTCTCTTTTTTCTTCTTTCTTTCACAGGAGGGCAGTACTTGGGTTTGAACTCAGGGTCTCAATCTTATTAGGCAGAGACTCTACCACTGAGCCACACCTCAACCCTTTTTTGCACTGTTTTTTTTGTTTGTTTGTTTGTTTTTTTTGAGACCGGGTCTCACTTCCTGTCTAGGCACATGCTTGGACTGAGATCACCTGTGTTTCACTTCATATCATAGTTTGGATAATAGGCATGCACTACCACACCGAGCTTCTTCTGTTGAGATGGAGTCTAATGAAAGTTTTTGCCCATGCTTTTTGCCCATGTAGAACTCTGATCCTCCCAATTCCCGCACACCCCTCTCCCCCACACCAGCTAGGATGATAGGTGTGTGCTACTGTACCCAGCTACTGGTTGAGAAGAGCTTTTATGAGTGTACACAAACTGGCCTTCAACTGCAATCTTCCTACTCTCAGGCTCCTAAGTAGCTAGGATTACAGATGTGAGCCACTAGTGTCTGATAAAAATCTTTTTAAGATACAGATTTCTGGGCCCAAGCACATGCTCCATTAGAATCATTAGGAAGAGTTCTAGAACAGGTTTCTTTGTTTGTTTGGTTGGTAGGGGGTGGGTAGGGTGGTTGTGCTGGTCCTGGGACTTAAACTTGGAGCCTGGATGCTGTTCTTGAGCTTTTTGCTCAAGGTTAGTGTTCTACCACTTGAGCTACAGTTCCACTTCAGCTTTTTGGTGGTTAATTGGAGACAAGAGTCTCATGAACTTCCCTACATAGTCTGGCCATGATCCTCAGATTTCAACCTGCTGAGTAGCTAGGATTATTAGGTGTAAGCCACTTATCCTGGCTTGGAACAAGGTCCCTTAACAAGCATCCCAGATGACTTAAATGTACACTAAGTCTGAGTATCACCCATCTGTGTAAGAACTAATAGACCCCCATACTCAATGTAAATATCATTCAATAATTATGAAGATGTCAAGAAAGCAGTATCTTTCTTGTCTTCTAAATCATTTTTCTAATCCTCCTGCCTAGTTGCATTTAGCCCACAGTAATGGCAACATTTTTTAGAAAACAGAAGAAAATTGAAGACATAAAATACTTATCCTCTTTGCCTGGGACTCTCCTCTGCAGAAGGTAAAATGAGATACATTTTATTGATTTTACCAGCATCCAGAAAGCACTTACAAGATCCAAGGTAACCAGGCAGCCTGGTGGTGCAGCAAATGGGCCCTGGTCCCCCTTTTGCCCCTTACTGGCTGTGACACCTTTGGTTCCATCCTTAACATCTGTGAGATCATGTTCCCCACTATCAGTAATACTAGTCCCAAATGGTGGCATGGAGGGAAAAATGGAAATGCTCCTTAACTCTCTATCTAGTACACAGTAAATGCTTCATAAATGCTTAGAAAAACAGTACTTTCATAAAGACAATATCACAGTCCTACTCCCCCAAAGGTGGGATATCGTTTTAACTATTGAGGGGGGAGGGGAGTGTGTCTGAACTCAAGCCTGTTTTCCCCAGGTTATTTTTAGAATAAAGTTGTCCTTCCCACTTAGGCACGTGGCTGAGCCACAATCTTCCTACTGTAAGCTTCCTAATCATTGTTGGAATCGCAGGTCCATGTTACCATGTCCGGCTTCCTTTTGTGGAGATAGGAGCTCACAGGCTTTTCTACCTAGGCCAGCCTGACACCAAAATCCTCCTAATTTCAGCCTGCCATATACCTTGGAATGACAAGCGTGCCGCATTGCATCCAGCTATTGGTTGTGAAGGGGTCTTAAACCACAATCCTATTGTTCCTAGCCTCCAAAGTCGCTAGGATTACAGTAGATCCCCCAGTACCCAGCTCATTTTTAACTTGTGAAATCAAGATAGCCTCTAGGTTGAGGAAATGAAATGTTTAGTAATTCAGACTTTGGAGCTACTTTCAATCTGTCATGGCAGAGTATGTGTGAAAGGCCAGCCATGTTTCTTTTCCTATCTGTGTGACAGTACTCAGAGTGTCCCACTCTTCTTAGCTCTAATGCCCAAGTCTCATGTTCTACCACTTGAGCCACCATTCCACTTCTGGCTTTTTGCTGGTTATTTGGAGGTAGGAGTCTCTCAGATTTATCTGCCTAGGCTGGCTTTGAACCTCAATGATCAGACCTCAGCGCCCTGAGTTACTAAGATCACAGGCATAAGCCACTGGTGCCCAGCTGCTAGCAGCTTTTGCCCATGCGCCACAATGGGCCTGCATGTCTGCCCCTAACTCCATGTCCTCAGAGGCCATCCTTTGGAACCCTGAGGGTTCCACAGCACAGCTAACAAAGACTTTTGTCTGGTAAGCTTCAACTGTATGTGTTAAGCTCCAGGAAGAATGTGTTCAGTTTCTCTCAGTTCACCCCTTACCCTATAGTTGCCTTTTTTCCAAGAATGAGAAGCAAAAAAAGGAAGAAGAGTAAGTTGAACAGGGAAGCAGTATGAAGCAGTTCACCACAACACTGTAGAGAATTCTCCCTGGCAGCCCCAATCTCATTTGCCTATGTCAACTAGCATTGCAAAATACATTTCCCTAGTAGTTCAGTAAAAGTTTCATTTCTTCACAGCCTTGTGAACAGTCCAGAGACAAAGAGGATGAGGCCAGTAGAGTCTTTAAAAGAAGATAAGGAGACAATGCTGTTTGGTCCCAAATTATTTGCAATCTAAAAAGAAAAAACAAAACCCAAAAACTCCAGATATGCCAGGCTTGGGAGACAAGGAGGCTTTGGTGGGAAGACAGGTCTGTCAATCTAAGCAGACAGACGTGGCAGCTCCCATGCTGAAACCAGATGACCCCTTTAGCAAATGCTAATAGCCAAATACCAATCCAAACCTTCTCTGTCCTTCCCCCTCAAGCTGACTTCCCTCTCTTCCATCAGTCAGGGAATCATAAGACCAGGCAACAGGACCAAATTCAAATGAAGCAGGAATCTGAATACAGGGCTTCTGAAGGCCGGTGGATGAGCCTGAGTCCAGATGTCTCCTTCATGGTCAACTCTTAACAACAAACACAGACTATGTTTTCCATAAGAAACTGTCCAACTTGCTGTGCTAGCTATTCATATGAAATCATTCCCCCTCATGGTTTCATATCTGCTCATGAGTATTTGCAACTCGGGGTTTGTTTGCGTTTAATTGCTTCCTGGCAAAAGGAATCTGAGATTTTTTTCTTCTCCCAGAAAACCTGCAAAGAGAGCTGGCTATTTGGAGAAAGAAGAGATTATATTTCTCAGACATGAACATCAACTCATCCTTGAGCTGACTGGGTTCAAATGCACTAATGTTATGTTAAAAAGGGTGAACAGAAACATGGATGTTTTGAGGAGTGAAGCTTTTGGAGCTAGCTGATCAGCAGCGATGGAAACTGCTTGGCAAAATCACCTAGTACTGAAGTGATCTGCTGCTACCGTCTTTCCCCTTGGGACAGAGATCACAATTTTTATTTATTTATTTATTTAGGTTGAGGGGCCTGAACTCTGGGCCTGGACACTGTCCCTCAGCCCTTCAGCTCAAGGCTAGCACTCTACCACTTGAGCCACAGCGCCATTTCCAGCTTTTTCTGCTTATGTGGTGCTGAGGAATCGAACCCAGGGCTTCATGCATGCAAGGCAAGCCTGAGCCACCTTCCCAGCCCGAGATCACAAATTTTACTTTCTAATTTTATCAGAAAGCATGGTGTCTGGTATATAGAAGATGTATAGTATATTGTTTTTAACTGAGAAAACACCTGTGTTCCTCAGTATCTGAGCAAGGCAGTTTGGGATTGTTTACATCCTTCATTAAATGTGGCTATTTGGAAAGTGAATACAATCAACCACTTTTTTTTTTTCTTTTTTTTTTAATTTTATTTTATTTTATTTGAGAACATACTGTACAGAGGGGTTACAATTACATGGGCAGGATAATGCATACATTTCTTACCAAGCATTGCAGCCTCCTCCTTTGTTTACCCTTCACCTCCCTTCCCACCCTCCCCCCTCCCCCCCCACCCAATCATACCCCCCTCCCCCCCCCCACCGACATTGTAAAGCTGGTTTTGACATGACATTTTGTACTTCTCATTGTTGCAACAGGTCCACCTGAATCCTTAAACGACTTGTTTGTCCCCGTCTCCTCCACATGTTATACTGACATCAAATATAGTGAAAGCGGGGGTTCAACCACTTTTTAAAAACCATTCAAGTCACACAGACAGCAAGGAAGACAATGAGCACTATACTGTGACCTACGAAGGCTATACATATTTTTTAATTTCCAGATAGCTAGTTACCAAAGAGGAAAAGCTGGCACTGATGCCAACCATGGGCACTTGCAACACCAGTGCATTCATCCCTCTGTCCCCCAGGTGTAGCTGCAGAGTACCACCTTCTCCAGAAGCACAGAGACAACTTGAATTGGCAAACCTCCCATGAAGGGTCCTCAGCCAATGCCCAGTAGCTACAAAATGAGAACCGTCTATGCCTGGTAGGTGGTGAGTATCTCCTCTGACCAGGCTACCAGGCTGATGTCACCAGAGTTTCCTCACATCCCTACTCCTATCCCCACAGTGCTCTTCTCTTCCCATCTTTTATTCTCCAGCTGAACCAGTTGATCCATTTCCTATAGTTCCCATGATTCTCTTCCCTGTCCCCAAGCTCTAGACATAAACAGGTTGTGATCATATATTTGTCATCTTCACTCAAGTTTCCAGCATTCAGTAAAAAGCAATTTCTTGAAGATCAGATTCACTTTAGTTCTAGAACATACTAGGCTTGAGATAAATCAAGAAACACAGACCCCTGCCCTCGTGGAATTTACATTTCAGTGACATGTTTGCCAGACTTGGTGTGCTGAGAGCCAACTAGCTCCCAGGCCTCCTGCTCCCCTGCTCTCCTTCTCAGTCAACAATATCACCCTTCACCCACTAGCTTTGCTAACTCAACCTCCAAGATGCCAAATGTGTCAGATATATCTCTAGCTTTCAAATCATTGGCTCCTCTCTGTGCTTCATTCCAGCCTTCTTCATCTCTTCTGATCTCTAATGGACACCCATACAACCCACTTTCTCCAGTCACCACATGAGTCTTTTAGAAATAAGGATCTGAGGCTATCACTCCATGTCATGATCTTTGCCCTCTGCACACTGCTTACAGAATACAAGGCCCTCTGCCACCTGTCCATGCCATAGTCTCTGACTTGCCTTCTGCTACTCTTCACTAATCCACTCAATCTACCTGAGTCATCATCATTCACTTCCACACCTCTTGTCCTCAGTTAGGTTATCTCCCTTCCTTCCCCTGGCCTGCTGAATCCCAGTGCATCCTTTAAGGACCAGCTCCACTGACACCTCTTCTGGGGAGAAGTCCCCTGCAAGAATTCCTCCAGCAAGCAGGAACCTATTTCCTCCTCCAATTTATTCAATTCTGACATTATACTGATCTGCTTCCTCTTCTACCTCCTGCCTTGGAACAAGAACTCACTGAAGCTCAAGCTGCCAGCTGTCCAGCTCCAACTCCCTCAGACATCTCAAACCCCTCTCCGCTGCCTCAGACCCTTGTCCCTGACACATCTGACATGCAGAAGATGAGCAAATACACAGCTGTCCTCACCCTCCTGCATTCAAAGCCTTTTGCTCACCAGTGAGGATCCCAAATGCAATGGAAAGAATTCCTTTTTTCTAGGGATAGTAGACACTAAAGAAAGAAGTCACTCACCTCACTTCTGGAAGCAACAGCCCGGTGGAGTGGTGTCAGCCACATGTTGTCCTTGGCATTTACACGAGCTCCTGGAACCAAATCACACAAGTTAGAGGTGCAAAGCAGTCAAGAGACTTTCTGCTACTGTTTGGGCAAAGGCTGTATCTTGTTCCCATTTGCCAGATATAACCAGTAGTTTTGTTTTCATTTTAGTTTCTTTTCTTATCAGTCATGTCCTAACAAGATTTTATCTGGGCTAAGGAGACCAGAATAAAGCCGTTTTATTTTAAAGTCCCAATTATTTCCCTAGAGCTAATCCAATGTTTTGATAGAAATAAATCATTTTAACAAGGCATTGATGGCTCACACCTATAATCCTAGTTACTCAAAAGGCTGAGATCTAAGGATGGAAGTTCAAATCCAGCCCCAGGAAGGAAAGTTTATGAGACTCTTATCTCCAATTAATCACAAAAAAAAAAAAAAAAAAAAAACCGGAAACAGAGCTGTGACCCAAAGTGTTAGAGCACTGGCCTTGGGCAAAAGAAGCTCAGGGACAGTGCCCAAGCCCTGAGTTCAAGCCCCAGGACCAGCACATGGATAGGAGGAAGGGAGGAAAAAGAAAGAGAAAGAAAGGAAGAGAGGGGGGAGGGAGGCAGGGAGAAAAGCCAGGAAGGAAGGAAGGAAGGAAGGAAGGAAGGAAGGAAGGAAGGAAGGGAGGGAGGGAGAGAGGGAGGGAGGGAGGGAGGAAGCTGTCTTCTATGAAGCTGTTGGACATGAAGCTTGTGTGGCTTACTTGCAGTCCTCTTGCTCTGGAGTGGGCAGACAGGCCCAAGTGTGAACCAAAGCCAGTTTACTCAGGAACTGAACAACCAGTTCACACTGAGATGAGCCTCATGCTCAATTCTCTGAAGTCACACCACCATCACTTAACAGAAGCTGCCTGTGAATGGATTCAGGGGAAACACATAGGACATGCTCATAAATAGCCATGAGAATGAGCCTACCAAGTCTATCTGAATACAGAAAGCCCTCAGTAAGAGCTTCCTCTCTTGTGGTTCCAAGTTCAGTCTACTGGACAGAGATGGAATGTTTTATACAGTTTATATAAAAGAAGAGGAGGAAATCACTGAATAATGATATCTTTGTGGAGGCTTTAAGATGAATTCATTTTAGACTTAAGACAGTGAAACAAGAAGCGCATAAGGATGAAGAGTGAAGACATGGATTAAAGAAATGAGAAAGTAGGGCCAGGGAGAGGAAGGACAGGGGAAGTGCCTTGAGGCCAAGAGCTAAGAAAGTAAGTCAAGTGGAGGCAGAGGCTGACTAATCGATCTCCAGGAGGCCATGGCTGACAGTGGAAAAATAGAAAGCTTTAAAAAGGTAGCAAGAGATTTCCATGGGTAAAAGTGGCCTAGAAGTTTAGTGCAAGGTACTAACAAAATGAAATAAACCATAAGTTTGTTTATTTTTACTGAAGAGCAAATACTATTAGAAGCATTAAGTGTAGAAAACAAGAAGATAATACCTAAAACAGAAAAAAAAAACAAAAAAACAGCCCCTTTTTGTCTGATTTCGTTGGCTGGACACAGCACCAGGCACACTTTTTTTTTTTTTTTAATACTCCTTAGAGCTCAACATTATTGTAACGCGCTCAGCAGTTTGAAAGCTACCAATGAATTGTTGCTTAGCTTATCAAGACTAAAATAATCTGAGTGCTAATTCCACTAACTCCAGCTTGCTTAACAGGGTTCCAACAAGCCTGGTGCTGATAGCTCAGCACTATAATCCTAGTTACTTAGGAGACTGACATCTCAGGATTGTGGTTTGAAGCCAGCCTGGGCAGTGTGATTCCTATCTCCAATTAGCCACCAAAAATGCAGAAGAGAAGTAGTGGCTAGAGTGGTAGAGTGCCAGCCTTGAGCAAACAAGCTAAGGAACAGAGCCCAGGCCCTAAATTCAAATGTCAGTATTGGCACAATAAATACATATGTATATGTATACATATGTATTTACATACCAGCCCCTTTCTATTTGTGTCTCAATTTACAGGGAGCAAAACGCATGGTACTTGCTCCACTGAGCAAGGGAACATGAGTACAGAGGTTCTAGAAAACAAAATTCCCACTCCCTAAAACTAATTTTAGATTTCTTCTCTTATGTCTCATATCCAATAGAAGGGGCAGTTGCTACAAAGCCAGCTTTTCTGGTTTAGAAAATTAGATAATTCTCGGGGCTGGGAAGTTGGCTCAGTGGTAGAGTGCTTGCCTTGCATGCCTAAGGCCCTGGGTTCGATTTCTCAGCTCCACATAAGCAAAAAGAATAAAAGCCGGAAGTGGCGCTGTGGCTCAAGTGGTAGAGCGCTAGCCTTGAGCTGAAGAGCTGAGGGACAGCGCCCAGGCCCAGAGTTCAGGCCCCACGACCGGACCCCCCAAAAAAAAAAAAAAAAAAAAAAAAGAAAATTAGGTAATTCTCAAAAGTAGAAGTACAAATGATCAATCAATATATGAAGAATTTGACCTCTTTAACTATAAAAGAAATCCAAATTAAAACCATACTGATCCCAGTATGTTACTAGTTTTATACATTTAAAACATTGCATAAAGCTGGGTGCCAATGGATCTTCAGGCTGAGATCTGAGGATCACAGTTTGGAGCCAGCCTGGGCAGAAAAGTCCATAAGACTTCTCCAATAAACCACTCAGAAAAAAATAGAAGTGGTGCTGTAACTGAAGTGGTAGAGTGCTAGCCTTAAGCACAAAGAGGCTCAGAGACAGTGCCCAGGCCCTGAGGTCAAGTCCAGGACCAGAAAAAAAAAAAAAACTAGATAATATTTTGTTATATATTGCCATGTACATGTTTTCACACAAATTACTTTATATTGTCCTCACACTGAATTTTCTTGTTCTACCTAACAATACTGTATACTTTCTACCCAGTTAGCACTTGCAGAATGTGTTATTCCTTTTCATTGCTTACCTGTGTTACAATACAAACACACCACATCTTTAGACATTTCCTCTGTTGATGAACATTTTAATTATTTCTGATAAACCCTTATCCAAACAAGGTTCAAATCATGGCATTATAAATCATGGGTAATATATACCTTTGATTTTAATAATTATTTTCAATTCTCCAAAGTGTGCCAATTTATATATTCATAATGTGCAAGATTGCTTAATTTCCCCACATATTCATCAACACTTGATATTACCAGTCACTTAAAATATGACAAATCTGAATTGATAATATTGTATTATACACTTTAAAAATCTATTAAAAGAATAGGTAGATTTTTTTAAAAGAATAGGTAGATTTCATGCTGTTTTCCCTCATTTAGGAAACAAGCAAACAAACAAAACCTACACAGGTACCCAAAGAATTCTGGGGAGTATAGATATATCTATTACTTCAATTGTAGTATTTCATGAGTGTGTGTGTGTGTGTGTGTGTGTGTGTGTGTGTGTGTGTGTGTGTGTGTATGCATAGATATATGTCCAAATTTATCATACTATATTATATAATATATATATATATATATATATTCTTTGAAATTCATTGTCTATCAACAAGACCTTAATGAAGATGTTTTAAAATAATTACTGCACATCTGATTAGGGAAAAAATGATGTCTAACTTTTTGTGTTTTTCTGTCTAATAATAATAAAGTTGGGCATCCTCTAATATCTTGTTATTGTCTGCTTTAAATTCATGTTCTGAGAATGACTTCTTTCATATTCTTCGCCTATGTCTCCCATTTTTCTATTATTTTAAAATTTGTACTCACAAACTTGTAGTGTTATTACTATCATCATCTATATAGTTTGAAAATGTTGACTTTTATGTCAATCCAAATGTGGCTTTTAATATTAAAATGTTTTAAGTTCTAGAACTAGGAGCCCATGCGTGCTGGGCCTTTCGAGTAACATGCTAGGAGGTGAAGTGGCAGCCTTGTTCAGGTGCAGCCTCAAGTCCCTGGAGAAACTGAAAGATATGTGATTAGAAATCCAGCAAATGGCTCCTTCCAAGCCCAACTATGCCCTCCACGCTGCCACCCTCCTCCTCTAGAAGGATGAATAGGCAGCTGCCAGCAAAGCCTCCTCTCCCTACCCCAGAAATCATGATGACAAAAGCAGAGTCATTTGAGCAATTTCATGACTGGCATCCACTGTTGCCTGCCCTCCCCATCCTCTTCCTCTGAACACTTCAGAGAAGTCTTATTTATCTCTCACAGGGAGACATCAGATGGCTTGGGCTCTGAATTGAATATTTATAACTGATTTTTCCAAAAGAAGCTCCATGTTATTTACCTGACTGTCAGGCACCATTGTGCACAGAAGGACACAGACTGCACGTCTAATGATTTAAAGGAAAATGCTTTTTACCCAAGAACATTTTAAAGCTTATTTGTGAAAATCATCACTAGGCCAATACTGCTTCCTCGGAAACAAAGGCCCAGCTAAAAGTGATCAGGCGCAAACCCTAATGACAAATGAAGTAAGTCCTCTCTTCATCTTATCCCTACTACATCTTAATTTCATTCCCAAGAGATCAGGAGTGAAAGGAACTCTGGCATCTTCTCCAAAGGTAAAATTCCTAGTTTCTTAGTTTTGTCATCAAAGAAAAAAAATACAGTGAAAATAAAAGAAGTGTAAAAAACAATAATGTTTAAAAAGTACTGTAATCAAAGTGGTAGAATGACAGGACAGCCCTATAGGGCAGAGAAAATAGTCAATTCTGAAGGCTGCTTTATCCAAAGTTTGCTGTTTAATTGTTGGAATAAATAAAATGAAGACAGATCATGTGAAATACAACTATAATAGAATAAAATCAATCAAACTATTGATTTTTCTCAAGGGTATTGGAGCAGCACCCTCTCCTTCCAAGCAATGTACTTGTACATGACATCACGTATATAGCAATTGTTCCACACAGTTTGGAGTTGCTCTTAAAGCCAGTTCACACATCTGCCAGAAATGCTTATTACTTTATAATAGCACCACATTGGCGGATCCAAACCACCCTTGCCTTCTTTAATCACCCCTCTTGCATCACATTGAAAAATATCAAAGCCATCCATAAAGAATGAATATGAATCTTGTTATGCATAAGGGGATCAAAGGAAGACTGTACCACAAGCTCTTCAGGCAACAGGCATTTTAAGTGAAAAGCATTATTTTGAAGAAAAATTACACTGATGCTTGTTTGTTGGCATAAATCCTAATAATTCCTTTTATTCAGTGGTTACACCTCACAAACACCCACAGGAGAACATTTTTCTCCTTCAATGCAGGACTCAATGAACCTTGCTTATCCCTGAACTTCTGTGGGCTCTGCTTCTAGTATCTCAATCCTTGCCTCAACTCTCAGCTACTGATAGATTCTCATTGACCCCATTGGCCTCAGCCCTAACTCAGCCAGTTTCCAAAGAAGAGCTAGAATCAGGGGAGAAGTCAAGTCAGAGTTTGGATGCACAGAGATAACCTGTAAGGTTAAAATTTACCCTTAAGACCTTGTGTCCTTTTATCTGCTAAGAGGTATTTAGTGGTCCCTCCATCTGACTAATAGGAGAACATATCAGTAAGGAATTTCACCACGCCTTGAGGTAACACAATAGAAAATACAGCTGCAGTGCCTTGTTCTGGCAAGGCTAAATTATTTTCCAGCAGGGAAAGCATTAGCGATTCATTTATCATTCATCCAGAAAACAGTGTTGTTGGATTCCTTAAAGGGTGTTCAAATTCGAAAGCACTATGTTCTTGCAATGGTATTTCTTTAGGGCTATAAAATATTTTTTAAAAACTTCACAGAAAATAAAAGCTATACGAATTCCAAAAGCTGGCCTTGGGTTCCACAGCTGGATAATATTGCTAGAACATTCCCAACACTCTTCTATGCTCTAAGGCATTCCCTATTTGTTGGGGCCAGGTGACAAGGAGGAAAAGAAAATTCCATAGTGAGTTGAACCAAAATTATACTAAGAGATTAACAGCTCTGTAACTCTAAGACCAAACAGGTGTACAAGATCAAGATCTATGCAATAGCATCATAGAAGGGAAACAGGCTCTGTTGGGGTGGGGATTGGGAGCAATGGGAGATACTAGTAGAGGGGGTTGGGCTAGCAAGGGGAATTAATGAGGATGGATATGGTCCAAGTAGTTGTTTGAATGTATGAAAACAGAAAAATGAAACCTGTTGAAATTGTTTTAGGAAGAGGAAAAAGAGATAGGGAGAATAATGGAGCAAGTGAGAGTATATTGAATATATTGTATAAATGGTATGGAAATGTCACAATTTTTTAAACCCCACATAAATTATCTATACTAATATTTTAATATGAATATTATGCATTGGTAGTATTTGGTGTCATCAAAGTAAACAATGGGCAAAATACAGAAACAGGACAAGCAGAAGGAGACATCCATTCACACTTTTTAAAAGTACATAAATCTCCCTTAAAGCAAAGATTAAGAATCAGGTAATGCACTGTTTCCTCTTTCTTGCATAAAGGCTCTTCCTTGTTTTCCTGATTGGTTTGTTTGTTTGTTTGTTTGTTTAAAAAGATGTATGCAATAGTTTTTCTTGGTTTTCCTGAATCAGCCACAGTTAGAAGAGCCTGGTAGACACTACACTCATGTGGAGGTGATGTGAAATCAAGTTCCTCATGCCATCATAGATCTCACGTAAAGTCAACTTCATGATACAGAGTTACAGCCCTCCCTTTCAGAAACAGAAACAACCACACAAAATTTGGCTCTAGGACACAATTTTAACCATGCATATTCATGACACAAGCATTGCTCAGAGCTCTTCTAATACAAGTCAAACATCCCTTATTCAAAATGCTGAAGCCAGAAGTATTTCAGAGTTTGGATTTTTCCTTTCTTTCTTCTTTTGTTTTTGAAATTTTGAATAGCTAGGTACATTTAATAAGATATTGTAGATATAATCAAGCCTACTCAAGAAATTCATTTATGTTTCATACATACATTGCACACTTAGCTTGAAGATAATTTTACACAAATTTTTTTTGTTTGGTTAGTCATGGGGCTTGAACTCTAGGCCTGGGTGCTGTCTCTCAGCTCTTCAGCTCAAGGCAAGCACTCTACCACTTCTGGTTTTCTGGTGGTTTATTGGAGATCAGAGTTTCATGGACTTTCCTGCCTGGGCTGTCTTTGAACTGAGATCCTCAGATCTCAGCCTCCTGAGTAGCAAGGATTATAGGTGTGAGCCACCACACAATATTTTTATTGCACCTTTTTATTTTGACTGTGAGCCAGCATATGAGGTCAAGTGCGTAATTTTCTACATGCAACATCATGTGGGCACTCAAACTGTTTTGGATTTGGGAGCATTTCAGATCCTTTTCAGATAAGGGATGCTCAGCCTGAACAATATTTACGTGACAGTATGGTCAGTTGGGACCATAAGGTGTCTAATCACAAAATTCTTTATTTTACACCTCCATTGACTCTGCCTACCATTTTCTGTGGGTCAAATTTCAGTGGCCGGGGCAACTGGCCAGATGTGCACCAACACCAAATAATAGATGTTTGTTTGTAACTCAGTCCTGGAACCTCTTTAGATGTGTCACAAAGCTTATTCTCAAGCGCACAAGGAATGCCAAAAAAAAAAAATTCTAACCTTAGCTTTCCATGCAATGTTTAAGAGCATGGAACATACATTTCCTGGAGAAACTCACCTTAACGACTGGACAACGACCAAACTAAGATATACCACTCTGCTCATGTATGACAGTGCAATCCCTTTTCCACACTGTCCTCAACTGCACAAATACACATATCAGCTCTTACCTAGCACTGCTTACTTTGGAATTCTTCAGTTTCCCTTTACTACCACAAACAAAGCCCAGATTTTACTATAGGCCTTTAGCCCACAGAGGAATTTCTTCCAGATTTTAATCTTCCCCCAAACAAAAACCAGGAGAAAGACAGACAGTTTGTCTATATTTATTACCCTCAAAATAACACTTGTTCACATGCTCCGGGTCATTGCAGGGATTTGTCTACAAACACTGAAGGGAAAAACCTGTTTGGTGAGAGGTACTACACATTAGCATTTTAAAATCCATTGTACGGGCTGGGAATATAGCTTAGTGGTAGAGTCTTGTCTAGCATGCATGAAGCCCTGGGTTCAATTCCACAGTACCACATAAACAGGAAAAGCCACAAGTGACACTGTGACTCAAGTGTTACCCTTGAGCAAAAGTAGTTCAGGGACAGTGACCAAGCCCTGAGTTCAAGCCCCAGGACTGGCCCAAAAATATCCATTGTTATGTTTCAAACATATAGGATAGAAACAAGAATATCACAAAGACTAGTATGTGCAGACCAGATTGAACAGGTGCATCAATATTTACTCAACTTACAGAGTTGTAGTCATCCTTTTTATGCCCTCCTTTGAAGACATTTCTCACTCAACTTGCTCACTCAGAGGGAAGCTCTATTTGGAAACTGATATGGTCCCTTCCCTTCCCTGTCTTCCTACTTTCATGACACAGAGTGGGTCAGTCTTGTACCCACAAGCAAACATGGTGCTGTTTTATAACATACATTGAGTATACACACTCAATGAACAAACTCTTACAACACAACTATAGTGTGATATACACAGTATCTACTTACAGTGTACACAAATTACATGGAGTACATATACAATGTGTCTGAGTAGACAATAAACCAGTTTTCTTTTGTTGCCTTTGTAGTACATATATTTTTTTTAAATCAAAACATATCCAAATGTACTGACTTTGTCTAAAATATTGGGCCTGATTAGATATACAGGAATCAGACTTCCAACCAGACTTTACTGGAATAGTTATAACAATTACTGCCTTTCACTTATAAATAAAATTGCCCAATGAATAAACTTCCATAAGCACAATACAAAAATGTTTCTGGGGCTTAATGTAGTCAATCTAATAAAGTGGTCGTTTAAACTTTTACCTGCAGTTGTGTTTTCAGCACAGTGGTTATTACCTGACAGAATGAGGAGTTCAATGATCTCTGCGTCTCCCAGAAATGCAGCCACATGAAGGGGAGTTCGTTTCTCTGAATCCTGAAACAAACAATGTCAAAGATTACCCAGCAGGCCAGTTGGCAGATAGAGGTGTCCTTTGTAGGCATAATTAGTGCATGTTACACACTCCAAGGTTAATGCTTGTGGAATGAGCTTGAAGACCAAAACACCTATTCAGAGGACTCTTGGTTATACTTTTCTCTAAGCACACCTGTCACCTGTACAAAGTTTTCCATTTTCTGAGGCTGTGTTTGGTTTTGCCTGCCTACTCTTTTCACTGAAGCCCAGGTCAGGTACTAGATAGACCATCCTGCACGGGATGATGAATTTCAATTTATTTCTAAACCTTTAGTTTGTTTTAAAAAAAGAAAAGTTTCTTGGGTGCTGGTGACTCATGCCTATAATCCCAGCTTGTCTGGAGACAGATCTGAGAAGTCAGATTAAAAGCCAGCCTGAACAGGAAAACAGGAAAGTCCATGAGACTCTTATCACCAATGAGCTGCCAAAAAACAAAGCCTGAAGTGGAGCTGTGGCTCAAGTGATAGAGCAGTAGCCTTTGGTAAAAAAAAACTAAGGGACAGTACCCAGGCCCTGAACTCAAGCCCCAATACTGGCATATACACAAAAGTTTCTCATACTTCTCTAACTTATCTTGATTTATTTTCTTTCTAAGGCAACAGAGTAGAATTAATTGCTTACAAGAACATTAGACAGGAGTACAGCTCTTTTTCCCTTCCTATCTTCATCAACTATTACCTAGACCTCTGCTCATTCACATAGTGCATACTGAATGCCTGCTCCGCGCCAGGAGTCTAGTTCTGGTGACAAAGGGAGTACCAGTGGGAATAAATGACATGTGAGATCACTTCAGATGGTGACAAAATTTAAGACAAAATGGGATGAAGTGATTGTGAGGAGAATAGGCTATTCACTTGAGATAGGAGTGACCCATGGACTTTCTTTATTGGGAGTCGGTCCTTTCTCAGGATGTTGATATTTACCCTGAGATCTAAGGCAGATCTGTGATCTGCTTTATAGATGAGAAGACTGTGGCTCAGATAGATTAAGGAATTTCCTCAAGACACCACAGGGATCTAGTACAGCTATGGGAGACCTTGACTGTCACACTCCAGCCTAAGTCCTTGGCCAAGCACTTAACATATGCTGAGAGGCAGCATGACAACACACAGGGGAAAGTATCACTTCCCCACGTATAAAGTATCGGTGATCTTATCTATCTTAGAGAACCAATAATAGAGTATTTAGGGTATGCAGTATTCATGCCTAGCAAGCCCTCCATGACTGTCATCAGCAAGACAGGTGATGCTGTCTTCCCCCTTCCTGACTGAAACTTTCTCTAGATAAAGATCAGTTTAATCCATTATCCTCATGGAAGCAGCATAGCAGTGGTTCTGCATATATTGGCTGAGCAGGCTAGTCCACACAAATGGCATCCTCCATAACCTAACTATCCACCATCCCATGACAATGGTAAACAAATGTTGTATGCTCTGTGGTTTCTCCTACACCCAGCATGCATTTTAGTTTCAAGATGCTTGGGTTCACTGTTGATTTGAATCAGCATTCCTATTCTCACTTTGTGTGTATGTGTGCTGGTCCTGGAGCTTGAATTCAGATTCTGGGCACTGTCCCTAAACTTTTTTTGCTCAAGGCTAGTGCTGTACCACTTGAGCCACAGCTCTATTTCTGGCTTTTTAGTACTTAATTGAAGATAAGATTCTCATGGAGTTTCCTGCCAGGGCTGGCTTCCAACTGAGATCCTCAGATATCAGCCTAAGTAGCTAGGATTATAAGTGTGAGCCACCTGCTGGCCAGCCGGTTTGGCCCTATTTTCACTTAATTAGCCTGAGGCTAGTACTCTTACTTCTCACAGCGCATGTCCTCTTCTTTTCCTCTGTCTCTTTCACACTATTGCTTGTAGGCATTTTGTGACTCACTATTACTAAAGCAGATGGCAGGCAGGGAATACAACAAGAATTGGTCTTCAAGCCAGCCATTTGTTAGAAGACTTGGTAAATGGTTTTATGAAGGGATGAACTAACTAACAGTAAGTAGATAAAAAGAGGAGTTTGAATTAGCTAGAAACTTATATTGTCTATGTATATTATAAGTAATTACTCTGGATAAATGGAAACAGAACAGTCATGCACTATAAAATAATGGATTGCCTGGAGAATTCAGTCAGATATATAACCAAGATGAATTCTAATAGCTCCATCATTCTTTGATTCAATGTTTGAAAATATATTTGCTAACTTGAGAAGCAGGTATATTAACTTACATAATAATCTACACAAATTATTGAGACCAGACTTAAACACGAATATTTTTTCTACTTAATCTACTGGTATCTCCTACAGTTTTCATTTTAACTTCATATTTTCTTTGAGTTTTTACTGTAGTTAATTTTTTTTTTTTTTACTCTTGGGTTTGAGGATAAGAGTTATGTAATTACATGCTCTTCTTTGAATTGAATTAGATCCAGAGTTTGGTTCAGCAAATTCAACCTTGTCCAAGCGATTTAAACAAGGTCTCCTCCAGCCCAAACTATGACTTCATTTGACCTGAAGCAAAGGCAATGATGTTTGAAAACCTGCCCTCAAATTAAAAGCCAAAAAATTTTCAACATCTCTCCCTGCCTTGCAAATTTGATTGGGCTGTCATTATATGACTAGTTTTGCTGATTCTATATCCTTTCTATGACACAGCTTGTTCAAACAAAAGTTCCTATAATATTAAAAGGGTGTGTTCTGTGAGATCACATAGTAAAAATTCTTGATATGAATGAATCCGGGCTTTGCTGCTAACATGCATTTGAAACTTTCTGGTTGCCTCTTGGACAATGATGCCAATTGACACTCCCCTTAAGAGACATGGCAAAATAGACAACCTCCCTAGCCATAAAAGAAATGCAAATCAAAACAACATTGAGATACCACCTCACCCCAGTTAGAATGGCAAAAATCAAGAACTCTAATAACAGATGCTGGAGAGGATGTGGACAGAAGGGAACCTTACTTCATTGTTGATGGGAGTGTAAACTTGTTCAACCACTTTGGAAAGCAGTATGGAGGTTCCTCAAAAGACTTCACATAGAGCTCCCCTATGACCCAGCAATCCCACTTTTGGGCATTTACCCAAATGTTTACAAACAAGACCACACTAAAACTACCAGCACAACTATGTTTATTGCAGCATTATTTACCATAGCTAAGATATGGAACCAACCCAGATGCCCCTCAGTAGATGAATGGATCAAGAAAATGTGGTATATATACACAATGGAATTCTATGCCTCCATCAGAAAGAATGACATTGCCCCATTTGTTAGGAAATGGAAAGGCTTAGAAAAAATTATATTAAGTGAAGTAAGCCAGGCCCAAAGAAACATAGGTCCCATGGTTTCCCTTATTTGCAATATCTAGTATATGTGTGAGTCAAGCGGACAAGGTCAGATAATGTGATGTTAGGAAAATGAACCCTTAGATATGCATTTAAATGTTTTTTTTCTTTCATGCATTTGTTTCTAACGCATTTATAAGATTATTTCTTTGTTGCTCTGTATGTCCTTCCCCCACAGTATAACCCCTGCTTTCACTATATTTGATATCGGTATAAGTTGTGGAGGGGAAGGGGAAAAACAAGTTGTTTAAGGATACAAGTGGACCCGTTCCAACAACGAGAAGTACAAGTTGTCATATCGAAAACGAACTTTACAACTTTGGTGGTGGGGGAGGAGAGGCTGGGAAGGGATGTGAAGGGTAAACAAAGGAGGAAGCTGCAATGCTTGATAAGAAATGTACTCATTATCTTGCCCATGTAATTGTAACCCCTCTGTACAGTATGTTCACAATAAAAATAAATAAATAAAAAGAGACATGGCAAATGAGTAATGGCAGAGGTGATCTGTATTACAGTAGAAACTATTCAGTTCACTGAAGCAGTGGGTTATGAAAAATCAATCATAAGTACCCTTCAGACCTTAACCCAAACTAACGATGTATTTCTACTATTGACGGAGAGTTGCTCATACCTACTTGCTAGTTAAGAACCCCAAAGATGGATAAGGATCAGGAGCTGAAGAATAAATGACAGAGTAACAATAATACCCTGTTTAATAAGTTCAAATTAGCCAGAAGGTTGTGATACATCTGCTGCCCAAGTAGAAGGCCACTCTATTTACCATAAGCAATGGGGGTAGGACATGCAATGACAAAAGGAGGAGTAAGGAGATGGTTCTGAAGAAAAGAGAATGATGGTAATAAAGCAAAGAATAATGAGTTCTAGGGCAATGTGAACCCTAGAGTGTCTAGAAAAAGAAACAAACCTAACATAATTATAAGGTACTTTTATTTTAGTTTATTTTTTCCAAAATGCCTTTTCATCCATTCTACTACTTAATCATAAAACAGCCCCACCAGGGATACACACATTATACAACAGTATTCTTAGGTCTCATTATCTTCATTTAGAAAAGGAGTTTCATCCCAGCAAAGCATTGAGCATCTAATTCTTAAGCATCAATTTGCTTACCCTAGACATCAAATTGATGATTAAGAATATATTTCCCAAGATAGTAATAGACTCAGATAGAGATTAGGCAAAGTCATTAAAACTACTTAAGACATGAAAGGCAAAGCCTAAGTGAAGGAAACATACTTTTATTAAAAAACAAACAAACAAAATTGCCAAGTATGGTGGACACACCTGTAGTTCCAGAATACAAGAGGATGGAGGACTGAGTCCAAGAGTTCAAGGCCAGCCTAGGAAATGTAGTGAGACCCCATGCAACATAAAAAAGAGGTAGGAGAATATATACAAAGGAAGGGATGCTGGGGGTAGTGCTAGCACAACTAGCAAATTATATTATAAATCACCTAACTGTGGCCTAAAAAGGATAAAAACTAGAAGAAGTCAAAAGAAAGAAGGAACAAATAAGTATGGTAACTTAGTGGTATGTTTTATAACTACTCGTTCAGCCATGTTTTCTAGCTATAGACATTTACCTAGAAGCTATA